TAGCAATATCCTCATTGTTTGCTTATGTTAATTAAATATATACCTGTGCGTTCAAACTTTCCATCATCAAAGTCATTTCTTGTATGAAATCACAAAATCCCTGTTCCATAGCATCCAATAACCATCACAATAACAATCAAAGATCAACTTAATTAATTGAAAAATGAATTATGCCATAAATGAAACTCCTTTCATCCTCATCATCAGAGAGGAGTGTAATATTCTTTCTAGCTAGTATACTTGGGAGGTATAAAATAAAAACTCACTAAATATATCATAGAAAAACATATATGGACCCAAAAATAGCATTACTTTTATATACAAATCTCTACATCAAGTACCATAGTCACAAAAATAAACTCAAAAATATAGTTGCCTTTCTCCTCCACTACTTGACGTCCCATCCGATTGCATCTCATCTACTACTTGCAAAAACAGTAAAATCAATGGGGTGAACACTAATTGCTTAGTTAGTACACCCACAACACTTCTCTTCTTTCTCCGTTACTCAGATTCTGAATTTGCTTTTCTTACATCAAGCTTCTCTATTCTTCTCTGTTTTCTACGATTCTAGTTTCTCACTTACCGATATGTAAGCACAAATAGGAAAACTAACTGGGGATAATAGAAATGGCATGATGCATATGCACAGATGCATAAATTTTTCTATGCAATGCATTTTCTTTTATGTTTATATGTTTTTCTTTCTTTTTCTGCGTTTCTTTCTTTTCTGTTTTTCTTGCTTTTCTAATATTTCTTGCTTTTTCAATTATTTTCTTTCTTGCTTTTTCTATTATTTTCTTTCTTGCTTTTCTATTCTATTCTTTTTTTACCGATCGGACTCAGTTGAGGCATGGATTTGGAACCCTCACCTTGTGAGTGTATTCTCAAATTCTTTCTTGGGTACAGTCCTCATCCACATGCACTTCTTACGGACTGTACAAATTCTTCTTTCTTATTCTGAGGCCGCTCACTAAAGGCAGCGTGCATGCGGGGCTATTCTTCTTCTCTATCACTCATGTGTTCCCCATCATAACAACCTTCTCTTCTCTCATCTTTTTATATTTCTTTAAATAAAATTTCAGATTTGAATTGTTCTTTAATTATATTTCTTAAAACAATAATTCTACATTTAATTTCTTTTCTTTCTTTCTCTTTATTCTTTAATGTTCTCATACATGTATATGTGCATGTAAATATGCTCATTCTTTGCTATTCTTTCTAAATTCAAATGCTCAAATGTATGAATGCATTATGGCATATTAAGATATCATTATGGAACTAATGTTCTCGACCAACAACATTCTATAACAAAGTAATAATCCAACATACTCAGTATATGCACTTTCTTTGACATTTCATCAAACACCTTACATGCACATACAAACCCTAATTGGTTACACTTCACCTATTTCTCAGCCACCAAAATTGGAGCAAAACTCCCTAAAGCCAACAATCAACCTCCGAATTCATCCTCCTCTTTCCACATCCATTCTTCATTTTTCATCCAAAATCCCATCAACTCACACACACAAATACATCACTTCTCATCACATACTAATAAATCAATTCTCTCACATACTGTAAGTCACTTCTCGTCACATACATTAAATTGCTCCATCACATATATAATTACTTCTCATGGCCATGAAATTCACATATCAAACAACCCAATTTTCAATCCATAATTCTCATCATTCAAACACGCATACAACATATAAAAATTTCTCTACAGCCATATTTATCCAATCAAAGCTAAAGTTGGATTTACTTACCTTGAATTTGAGCAAATCCAACACAATAATCTCTATTTGATAGAATTACCATTCCTCTTAAACCCTAAGCATATAAAACCATAAGAATTCAAAACTTTAAAATTAAATCTCACATTTTGGTGCAAGAATCTTACCTTTAGATGTTTAGGATTGAAAATCTATCAAAATATAGCCAAAATCCTATGAATTTCCTTGGAATTAGTGGAAGAAAAAATTGACAGAATTTAGGGTGAAGGTGGAATGAACTATGGGTAGAGTGGTTAGGGTTTCTCTTCTTGAACTCTTATTTTATATATAGTTTCTCATTTTACCCTTGCACTTTTAAAAAATTTTATCTATGTCCCTTAGTCAATTACAAAAATGCCCTCATTTTTATTAACTTATCCATGTTATTTTACTTCTTTTCACTCCCCATTTTTCAACTAATTATGAGTGAAAAGACCATTTTACCCCTAATGAAGGTTTAAGGAATTTTCTTCACACTTGTTCAAGATAACTTTAACAAAATTCAACTAAGGGTATTAAGGCATAAATAAAGCTACATACCTTGATGGGGGCGTTACAAGGAGACTCAATAATCCAACGAGGAGACTCATCATCATATTCTCTTTCCCTTATCTGATAAAACTAAATGATACACAACACACTTAACCATCATCTACAATCTCTCAAGTTCAAATCTAAACAAATTTTATCTTCGATCAAATGAAAAAACCTGGATTTCGGATTATTGAGGATGTGTTGCATAGAACGAGATTTGAGATTGAGAATGGGGACTTTGGTTTTATTGAACTGGGTGTAAAACATTAAGGTCGAATCACATCGATTTTTGTGTGCTCTCAATCTACTCAAGGCAAACTAATGAACACACAACAATCCATATTTAGCTTGACAGATTCTTACCTAAACAACGACGGTCGACGTCGACAGAGAATGAGGAAGGGTCGATCGAAGAGAGAAGAGAGAAGAGATTATCTATTGGAAATGGAGAGAGATATGAGATGGTATTGGTAGGAAAGTGTCAAACGTCGCAGTTGATGGTCGAGAGAGAAGAGGTGCTTAGATTGAATTAAACTTTACCTCAATAAAGAAAGAACAAACATAGCAAGAAGACACCAACTTCCAGCTGAACTGAGGAATGACAGCAAAATTGGGGAACGACAGCGAAACTGAAGAAAAATGGTCAACGCGGTGTGGGCACTGTTTTAAAAACCGAACTGGATTGGCCGGTCCAACTGGTTGGACCGAGAACCAGTCAAGTGTCCGGTTCAAGTCAACCTTAAAACCGTCATTATGCATTAAGCCGCTTTAACCCGGTCAAAACTAGGATAAAGTCAATGAACCGCCGATCCAATCGGACTGGCGGATAAACCGGTATGATTTCAAAAACCCCTAATCGCAGCCCATTCCATCGATTTCCTTTCTCAGTTTCTCAGCTTCTTCCCTTTCTCAGTTTCTCTCAGATTTATCAGCTTCTCTTCGAAAATTTCTCTCTGAAATCCCACTCAAATCGCAATCAACTCCACTCCCTAAGTCTGAAATCGCAACCATTCGACATTCACCAAGTCGCAACTGAACTCCCTCGCCGAAAATCTACGGCAACAACTCCATTCATTGACGACAACTCCATTCCTCGATCCAGGTAAGGTTCTTGCAGTTTTGATCCTTGAAATCATGTACCCTTTTTTTAGTTTTCTTGTGTTTTTCTTGATGGGTTCTCACTCTTTTACCTTGTGATCTTGCTTTATGTATCTGGGTTTACATTGTTGCTTTGGATCAGTGCTTGGTCTGGTTAGAACGTGTGATCAAGATCTGGTTTTTGTGTTCATTCGAGCCTTGATCAGGTTCATATCGCTTGTTCTGATGATTTATGGTTTCCAGATTAAGTAGCTGAGGTTTGTGTATTGTAGTTCTTGGCTGCATGCTTTGTGGTGTCGATTTCGATGGACTCTTTGCCAGAATCAGCTAAAGCCTCATACGCGTCCTTTCGAGGTTCAATGGGTGCTTCAAGCAGACCCTACGAAGCAATGGATTCTACTAGTAGAAATTACACAACCAACAGGATCCCCTAGTTTTTCTCGGCAAAGGTGCAGATAAAATTTAGTGTGTAAACTGTAAACCAACAATTTTTGTCAACATGATTTTCCCAATCTCGTGTGTATGCTGTAGTGTTGTATTTTAATTTTTCATACATTTCATTGAATGAAATCATTATTCTTTCTATTGTAAATCCCACCTTACGAGTATATTTGATTTTGGAATGTTGTCCTTGCCATATTTTGGTTATATTCTCTGACCTTGATTAAGAAATTTCATCATCAAACTATAATTTGATTACCTTTATGTTCAGTGGCGTCTAATATGAGAATTATATTCTAATATGAGAATTATATTCTTACTTATTACGTATTTTATCATTTAATATGTAAATACAACATTATATTTAGATTTGGACTTTGGATTGTTGTTAAATACTTAAATTATGTTGAGATTATTGTTGAATTTGAACTTTGAATCATGTTGGATAGTAATTAAGTTGTTATTGTCCTATTAAAAAATAGAAATCTAAAAAATAAAAGTTTTTTAAAAATATGCTGACATCATTATAACATGTGATAATATCACCGATCCAACCGACGGTCCAACCGGTTAGACCGGTTGAACCGTGACCCAAGTAGCAGAACAGGTTGCCCTTCAGTCTGGCTTTTAAAACAATGGGTGTGGGTTAATTTGTTGAACAGAAATGGTGAGATTTGAGGAAAATTTATTGGTGTTTTGTGAAATTTTTTTAGGGATTGCGTTTTGATTGTTTCGTTTTAGGATTTTGTTATATATATATATATATATGGGCACCTGCAAGTACACCCGTCTCACCCGTTGGCAAAACGGGTCGGGCCAGGTACAGGTCCAATTTTCACGGGTTCACAAGACTTGACCTGTACCCTATATTATTTACTCGAGTATGGACCGACCCACAAGTCCAAACCCGTTTTGTCATGTCTAATATTAACCCTTACTATTATTACTCAACAATCGGGCTTGGGCATATGCACAAGGCCTCCTTCGACCTTCAATGAGCCTGAAAATTTTCATTGAACTTTGATGATCGCCACATCATAAAGTCTTAAATGAAACAAATATATCATTTTAAATGAAACCGACATATGGCATTCATCTGTTTAATAGATAAAAAAAGAATGCAAATTAAGAATCTGGTTTTCTGGGCAAAGCTAACAAATCCTGCACTATTAATTTGTAAACTAATATACAAAAGTATAAAAGTCTAAATCATGAAAAAAAAAAAAAAAAAAAGACAAATAAGATGTGTGAAGAGCCACCAGAACTTAATCTATAAACATAACAAGAGCGACCAGAACCAAAGCTTCATTTATGCTGGTTAAACTTAAATGAGCTTTGATGAACTGGGATGCAAACTCACCTTAACTTTGTGCCTATGACTATGAATAGAGAACTATATTTTGATTCACCAAAGCAAATAGACATAAATCAACAGCGTAAAATGAAAAATTAGAGGTAAACTTTCTGGGAATTTGTTCTTTCATACTACTACTTGCCGAGTTATTACAGCCCGTGCTTCAGCGATCCGACTATAGCTTTTGCTTTTGTTAATCTTGATTCAATCTGCAAAACGAAGTTAAAAAGAAAGTGTCTTTAGCATTAAGAAATCATGAATGTAAAATCAACATTTGCAAAATATAGACCGTAAACGAGGCATAATGTTCGCAAGAAGTCTACGATGAATGTAAATTAAACAACAGGGCTCTTATGATCAAACTAATAACCAGTCTCCCTCCCTCTTATTTTTAAGTTTCAAGACAATGGTGAATGCAATGGAGCGATCCAAGATTCTTAATGCTTCATGTGCAGCCAGAATTTTATTTAAATGTCTCATCTATGGCACTTCTTTCTTTAATAATATAAATCCCATCTATGAGACTGGCTACATCATCCGTCGAAAGAAACAATATATTATCAGTTACAAGTGGCAGCATATTATCAATTATAAGCAGCAAAAAGTTTACTTGCAAGCTTACAATGCTCACCAATGAGGTCCATGTGGCCATCACCATTCAGCCTGAAGACCAAATTACAATCGGGAACAAATATCCATCAATACCGTGTTATTTGCTGCAGCATTTGAGAACCAGCTGCTTGTGAAACAAACTGCTCAGAACTTGGTGAAGCTCTTATAAAGTTATTGACACCAACTTGGTTGCTGAAGCCTGGTCTCATCATCTCTCTAGTATTATTCACGTTGGTTTCAGGCTGCGAGGATTCCATCAATGTACGAATCTGACAGAATACAATTTGTAAAGGGAACATTTTCAGTGCCCCATAAGGTAAGGATATAGATTAAACAAATGAATTAATTCAACTTACCATATCAAGACGCTTTTTGTGGAGATCACTTGACAACTGCACCATTTAGAAAAAATCATCAAAAATTTATCAACCGGAATTATTGTTTATTTTAAACTAGGCAAGAACTTTTCTACCATTAAGTCCTTTATACCATGGAACCAATGTGATTACGAATCAAGGCAAGTAGAAGAGTGAGAAATAGAAAGAGAGAAAGAAATACTGAATCATCATGTTGCATATCAAGGTCTTCAATAAAGAAATAAAATGCTTACCGGTTTCCTCTGGTGTTTCTGCCCTTCACTTGAGAATCCAGGAACTGTCAAATCCCAATTCTTCTCTGCACATACATTCAGCGTAACAGATTCATTGAGAAATGAGTAAAACATTACACTTGCTGGCTGAATTTAGATTTCACCAAAACAATCTTCATTGAAACATCTTTGTTTCACTGCTTTATCATATCATAAACAATATAATCTATCCTAGATATCAACCAAACTGCTAACCAGTAAACCAGTGATCAAACATAAGAAACAAATAGCAATATGCATAATCAAACATCAGAAATCTTCTGGGGGAACAAATAATAGAGAAAGCACAAACCTAAATGTAGTAATACATCTTTGGACTCCAAAGTTGATGATTTCCGGTGCTTTGCCAGACTACAAGCAAATGAAGTAACCTGCAAAAAGTACATGAAAATAAGTTTCTTTCCTGAAGACAATACAACAATTCTGCTTTAGTGGTCTTTTTATTTTTTTATTTTTTATAATTAATTAATTTTTAGAAAGAAGTTGATAGCCAGTGAAGATTATCATGACGTAATATGGTACACAGTGTAGACTATTATGGCAACATGGTAACTTCATAACAGTTACTAGCAGAAATGTCAAGATCTAATAAACCAATGTCAGCAGGTTCCATTGAGGAAATCCAACGACACCATGCAATCTTCTAACACTGTAAGTGCCATTTAGATATGTTATTCTTGAAGCAGAAGAAGGGAATTTCAGCCGAAACTTTAAAGGACCTTTTAGGGCAGCTCAGATAATTATAGCTACCAAAACGGTGGTTTTTGGAAAATAATGAGATGTGGGACTAATAATTATACATGTAGGCTGCATTATGGCATCACAAATTTTGCTGACAGGGGATCAAAGTACAAAGCAAATTTTCTGACCAATGAAAAACAAAGTGTTTTTTTTTTGTGGGGGGGTGGGGTGTGTTGGTTGGGAAGATAGCACGCCACACGCACAGAAAGAGGAGCAAATAAACATAATAAAAGAGTTAGCTAGCTTAGCAGGCTCACAGAGTCAATAAAGTCATCTGCAATCTCCAAAAGAAGATCTTCGACATCTGGATCCAGTTTTCCCCGTGAATCAACCTGAGCAGCCAAAATTTGAAAAGATTTAATATATTTTACAAAAAAATTAAACAAAATTTCAAAATAAAACACTTATATAAACAGAACACTCAGTGAAAACGGAAAAAACCTGCGAAACAAGATCCTGTATCTTTCTCTTTCCAAGGAGCTGATTAGTTGCTTCTGTTCCTTGGCTTGAACTCCCCCCAGGTGTAGTTGTACCAGAGGCAGTTGCATCTGGTTGTGATCCTGTCAAGCTAAGAGATTTCTGGACTGCATGACCTGGAAGCCTTGGAGACTGCTGCTGCTGTTGGTGTTGCTGTTGATGCAAGGTTGGCTGCTGTTGTAGTTGTTGGTGTGTTTGTTGTAGTTGTTGCTGCTGCTGCTGCAGCTGTGACTGCGGCTGTGTATGTGTCTGCTGTTGAGCTTGATGCATCTGTGGATGCCCCATTTGTGGCTGCTGCTGCTGAACCAGCTGGGATAATTGCTGTGGGTTCAAGGCCAAAGAATTCTGGTGTAACTGCGAAGACGAAGCCAGTTGCTGCTGTAAGAGGACTTGTGGCTGCCTCTGATGTTGTTGGAGACGGAATGAAGGTGAGGCAGGGTTAGACATTGTCGGCATTTGCTTCAACCACTGTTGCGGCGACAAAGAGCTCTGCATCATACCCGGCTGTCCATTCTGAGCCAGGCCAGATAACTGAGGGTTCATAAATGCCAGAGATGAAGTCCTGGGTAAGTTTTGGACCTGAAGATTTTGAAAATAAATTGGACGTCAAATTCATGCACACAAATTACAAAGGGAAAATGAATTAAAAACCCACATAAAAACATTGCATAAGATTTCACTCCAGGAAAAATCTTCACGAAATGTGCCACTACTATGAAGGAACACCCAATGTGAAAATCTCAGAAGCAAAATACTGTCATATAGCTTATTTTATCTATAAAAAAGGAGGAACAAAATGCTCATGTCCCCGGGCAAGTTTTGTATCAGGTGGATAAATGCACCTGTTTCCAAACCAACTAAAAGGAAAAAACATAGCAAAGTCAATGGTTATTTTATTTCTCAATCTCTCACATAGGCCATGAATAATTACTAATCTTTCAATAGTTATCCATCCACTTGAAGGAGAAATGTTATATAAGCGTAACACAATATCAATAAGCTACTATGGTGCACAACACCATCTATCAACATGGAACCAATACATTTACCAATTAGGAAATATACTTATTAATTTGCATCCTTCCAGAAAACTAGAAAAAGACCACAAGGGAAGGAATTGAGTGATAGTGATAAGACAATAATTAAACAGAAAAAGGAAACAGAAAACGTAATCGTTTACCAAAATAACAGAAGGAAAACAGAGCACAGAAGCATTAGAAGGAAATTATACCTGAGGGGAGTTAAGAGCATTCTGTTGTGACAGTTGCTGCCGCATCTGCCCCTGATTCATTCGCTGTTGTGCATAAGCAAGGGCCCCACCAGCCCTCAATTGTGAGCCCAAATTAAGTGGCCCCATCATCCCCATTGCTTGCATTCCTTGCAAAGGCTGCCCAGGCGAATTACCAGGATGGAATTGGGATCCTTGCACTAATCCAGTTTTCTGCCTCGGCTACATCCAAAACCTCAATTTTTTCAGGAAAGGACAAGGAAGCCAGAATTTATAGATATTGGTCCAGCATAATATCTACCAATGAAAATTTCTCACTCTCCTATGCAAAATCAATCATGCAAATTATGAAGTTATCAACAAGAAGGTTACTACCATTATGAAAATTACTAACATAGAAAAAGTCTTAGATTCCCTAAAATTTAATTGCTAACGCAATCAGGTATATGATAGTTATCTTATCTTTCTGAACAAGGCAGTTCATTACGATATTCTAATTGTTACAGAAGATATGGCCGCAGATAGTCCATAATTAAGCAAAAGGGTGCACATATTAATCACCACATAAAATAACTTTAAATGCTCCTGTAACTTTTAAGTAAATTCAACTTTCATACGAAAGCGTAAACTTCATGTTGATAAACACCACAAACAAAGCTTCAATATTTCAACCCCTTTTCAGCATGTTCAAATTATACTTCACAAAATAATTTTACAATATATGGTTCCATCTCACCCAAGAAAGATCTTAACTTCTAAATCAACTGTGACCGCTGAAAAAAAAAGGCTCATAAAGTGCAGCATTGAAAAAAATAATATGTTCTCTACACCACTTCTTCACAGCTTCTAAGAAAAACCTAATCTCACTTGCAAAAGCAAACTAATTCTTCTAAAAAACATTGATATTATGGTCATTAGAGTGCAGAGCAATAACAAATCAACCACTACATAAAAGGTGACCCAAATAGCCCATTTAACTAAAACTACAGTCTCCCTATCACTCACAAAACACCAAACTAATGCAAATATCATTTCCAAAAGCAACAAAACTACTTCATTGAAACCAATGCAACAATCACTGATATCAAAGATAAAGCAAATAACCCTCACATATCCAATCATATATGATCATAACCACAACATAAACCAGGTTTCAAACATACAATCTAACATTAGCCACATAGTACAACTACACTCAGAACTACCTAGACATATCTCTTCATACAAACTTATCTGACACTACTGTATTACAGTGACATCGCATGTTCTAATTTGCTTAATAAGTATATACCATTTGAATTGCGACCGGAACCCACCAAAAAAGGGATAATCCATAACATCATTCTAATAACATACAACGCGTACCAGTTTTACAGAAAGTTCCTACTTTGCAAATATAGCATCCCAAATTCAAGTTAAAATAAAACACAAGATTCCATAATTTGTAAGTATAGCACACCAAATTCAAGTTAAAATAAAATACAAAATTTCATAAAATCAATACCGAAGCGAGCAATTGAGACTGTAAATTGAACTGGGCAGCGGATGCCCCAGTCAGCATGGGCAGGTGCCCCGTCTGCCCAATAAGGCCTGAGCGTGACAAATTAGAAGAACCTAGTTGAGGGTTTTGCTGGGTTTGCTGCTGATTCTGTTGATTGAAATTCACTTGACCGTACAAAGCTTGTTGCCTCAAGACGGTGTATGCAGAATGTTGTTGTTGCTGCTGCTGCTGTTGAATTTGATTCAGCCGTGAGATTGAGGAGGATCGATTCAAGGTTTGTGGGATTTGGTAATTCGACATGGCTGCAACGTTAACGTTCTGAACCATTTGTTGTTGTTGTTGGAGAATTTGTGGGTCAAGAGAAGGAGAGGAAGATTGGTTCTGTTGTTGTTGAGGTGTCGACGGGGTGGCGACGGGCTGAGAAGGAGGGCGGTGGAGTAAGGGCGCTGACGTGGCGGGGGTGGAGGGGGTTAAGGAGGAGGGAGTGGGGTCCAGCATAGGGTTTGGCGGGGATTGGAGGGGTTTGGGGGGAGAAGTTTGCATTGACGGGGTTGCTGGTGTTGGTGCTTGTGACGGTAAATTGTCTGCCATGGAGACCGTGGAGACGGTTGCGGTGGCAGTGACGGTGGCGGTAACGGTGGCGGTGGTGATGGGGGTTAGTTCATGACTTCATGGTGAAAGTTATTGGGTTTGTTTGCAGAGGATGAGAGAGTTTTGGAGAAGGTTGAAGAGAGAAGGGAGAAGACTGACAAGAGAAGATCTGGCGCGTACACGTGTAATCTAAGACTATAGCTGAGAAGTCAGTCATACTATGGCTCTTATTATACTTTTCTTTATTTTTAGAGTTCTTATTTGTTTTCGGAAGTGTTTTTGGAAAACACTTCTATTTTGTTAATAAATACTCAATAATATTTAAGATATTATTATAAATCTATAAATTTATCTTATATAGATAAGTAATATTGTTTTATTTGTTTTAACCAAATTGTCCCAGTTAGAACTAATCCTTGATAAAGACTACCGAGACAACCTACCATTACAATCTCTTACTTAAATCTTAAGAGTAGAGAATACGGACATAAGACCGTACACCTTAATCATACATCGTACACTTTAATCATACATCTTAACGCTCATCCAAATAATATTATTTTGTACCTTAAAAGTATACTTAATTAAATAATAAATAGATAATTATAACTTACGATAAAAAGTTTACACCAACAATCAAAAGAGTATGATACATGATACATCTTCAACATTGCAAATTTGATCATTAAAATGTACATTCTATATGATCTGCTGGACTGCTATGCGACTTACTGACTGGGAATGGTATTTTGCTGCTCATCGGAGACACCGAAATTATGAAACTTATTTACAGTAAGGATGTGCTCATGGGATTTGGTGCCATCTTTGAGTTTCTGAAGCAGCATCCGAGGAGGGTCTCGAGAATAGCATGAGTTTACAGTAAAGATGTGCTCATGGGATTGGCAAAGAAATGCTCGCGGTATAACATTGTCGAACTTCTGAAACTGCGTCCGAGGAGGGTCCCCAGAAGAGGAGGAGGGCCGGTGTGTGTAGTTTGATGCATCTTCCTCACGAGGAGGTGTTTATCCAAAACCATCAGCTCCAGCAATTTTTTACAGCTCTGCATAAAAATGGACATCTATAAATCAACACTTTGTTCAAAATTGCAGGTGGGAAGTGATTGAATCAACAAAACCCAAATTTCTTGACTTGTTCTAGTTCTATTTTTTCTGTTTTCGTTCTTTAACCAAATTGCTTGTTCCACCATATCTACCAGATCACATGTATTGCAGAGAAATACTACAATCTACAGGAATAGAAGGGTTTATATAATAAGTTAATTGGTAACTCCTGTTCAGTGAGGAAAATGGTTTCCTCAGACCCAGCTGTGCGCCAAAATGTTTTTATCGGATAGTAAGTATTAACATTTGTATAAGCAACAGGGCTGCTGATGTGAAAAACTCCGGCCTAACATGATTTCAGGATAAATGCATATTTCGATATTCAATTCTATAATTAAGATTACACAATATGTACCTGGGGGTTTAATACATCCATCCCGCGGATAATTTCATCCTGTAAAAAGAATGAGAAAACAAAAATGTAAGATATATTTCGTAACTCCCAATGAACAGACAAAATAGACGTCCACAAAGCTTCTGGCTCACAAAAAACTTGGATGCCTGCATATGACGCTCATCACCAGATTATATTCTTTTTAAGAAACAATGCAGCAACACGGATGATGCCAATTCCTCAATAAAAAAGGAAAAAAGGCCTAAACAGATATTCATAAACGGAAAACCAAACGGTGATAAAGAGTTTCAGAGGATAAGTTTAAAAAACCTAGAATGGGGAAGTAAATGAAAAGACACAGAAATGCTGGTACCTCTAATATCCCAGGATTTTGCATAACCATGCCCAGAACACGATGTAGAAGTCCATTGTAAACAATACTGTTGACAGTTCCATCTCCATTTACCCAGGGCAATATCGGCATACAAAATTCAGCAGAAGTGTATTTGTAGCTTTCACTCTGAATATACTCCCTAGACAAACCATCAACTTGAATACAGACTTCATGCACATTGTTAGTTTGAGTTTCATTTACGTGTTCAGCAAAATCTTCAGGAAGATTAAGAATGGTGACTTTGTGCATATCACCAACATTCATCTCCATTTTCCGCTGTGAATTAGCACCATCACTATCATGGTTTTCTGGCTGGACTAATTGGCTATTATTGGTCCTACTTGAGAACTTTGTCAATGATGGTGTGTTGAGATCTTGATGGAAACCAGCCATAGAGATCAAGAAATACTTGGAACGATATAATGCATCAACAACACGAACAGTGTCATAGCCATTGACCTGTAGAAAAATCATTAGTACATTAGAAGAAACTGTACAAACAGCCCCAACCCCAATCTTTCCCTAAGCATCTGTGTCAGCCTGCCAGTACACTGCTCAAGAAATGACAAATTGCACTTATAGTCTAAAATTGCTGATCCTTAGTGAACCTACCTTATATGCTCGTCCAAATGCTTGAAGCACATTGATGATACATTCAGGGATTTTTTCTCCTGGGAAGGACAATAAAGAGACAAAATTAATACAGTCGAACTTGTGCATAAATATCATCCTTCCTGAAATCTTAAAGCAAATGGCACATTTATGAACATCCCCATAAAAGAAAATTATGGTGCATGTACCTGGCATATCTATAACGTGGGAAACTTCCTTGATGCTCAACCCTTGGTCACCAGCCTTTTGAATAGCAGCATAAACAGTCTTAAAGACCTTAGGACTGAAGAAACTAACCAGTGTTTGGTCAGTTCTCGATAAATACTCAGCATAGGTTGCCATAGAGTCCCAAGGTGACTCACTAGAACCTCCTGCTATGGTAACAGCACTGCCAAAGTTGAGCATCTGCTTCACATGGTCAGACTGACAAGGACTACCAATATTTTTTTGATCCAAAAGATTGTTAAATTCAGCATTATCATGAAGTTCACTGCTGCAAGTTTCCACACCTTCAGACAACTCTACAGCATCGGCCATTAATATTCTTGTACGATGCACGGATACCATGATACCAGGAAAACCCTTTTCTCGGCGAGAAACAAGTTCACTTTCTGCGACAAATTTTAATTTCTTAGCCTTATCACCATCACAAAATTCATTTTCCTCATTCTTACGTTTCAAACATCTCAAGTCTTCTCCCTCTCCAATGCCTTCATCTGGCAACAAAGGAGAAATTGACAGTTCGCCAGAAGAAACTAAAGAAAGCAAATGAAAAATATCCCCACACTGTAAGTCTGCATTAAGATTAATCCCCCCTTCCATAAGATCCTTTCCTCTTTCATAAAGCCAACTAGAAAATTCTGTAGCTCTCTTTCCAGTATTAATTGGGAAGGGTGATTTAGAAAGATTTTGCAAGAACAGCTGAGAAAGTACAAAAGGACTGCCATTACCCCCAATCTATCATAAAGTGAAGAAAGCTCTGTGTTAGAAATTACTTTCATATCAATAAAATAGAAAATAGGGGACAGAAAGGCAGTTTAATAATTGGTCAAATGAACATACAGGAAGTGAGAAATAAGAGTCAAACAATAAGTATTATTGCTTAAGTGAGAAATAAGAGTCACACAATAAGTATTATTGCTTAAGTGTGAAATTTACAGATTATTATTGCTTCCTCATATTTTCGCAAAAGCCACAAGACTGACATAAATTATCATATCTGAAACTGAGTATACTACATAATCCATCAATAAAAACTCATTTACCATAAATTTCTTCTCCTTGAGGTAGCTAAAGGCTGCAAAAAGATCATGTTCTGAATAACGCCGTAGAGTTTCTGCCAGCAAATTTGGCAGTTCTGGTGCTGCTGAGGTGCTCAAGAAGACGAGCTTAAACAATTCTATGGCATTAGAAACAGCCAAAGATTCAACTTCTCTACTGATACTTATCCCTTCGGTCAAAAGCTTGAGAAACTTTTGATGAAGGAGATGACATTTGGTTCTTCGAGCAGCATCCTTATGTGGTCCCATACCAAGGTTCTGATCACTATAAGTGGCTGAAGAAACCAATCCAGATTCCTCAAGATTCTGCAAGTTAAATATTTACTATCAGCTTCTACAAGGAAGGTAACTGCAAGAATAGGAAACTTTTCTTTTGCAGATACAGTAATAATATACAAGCATGTCAAAAACCATTTCTTGTAAACCATATTTAACAAAGAAGTAGAAAAGAACATGGGCAAAAGGGAGAGAGTGTGTGACTTTTCCAACATAAAGATGAGAGCTCCTCTAGATCAATCCCTTGGTCAAAATTTTGACCATTGAACTCCAGATGCATCAATGATACAATACCAAAATGTGATTAATCTTACATTTAGATATTCCTCAGAAGCTGACCCAATTCTTTTAGATGTCTCCAACTTCGCTATCCGTTTCAATCGAAGGACATCACCAAGAGCTGCCTGAATATTCTTGTCATTAAAATCATCCCACTGTTTTTCCTCCAAAATAGTATCTTCAGTGTCTTCAACACCATCAGAGACATTCAGTTTATGACCTTTCCTGGACAAAACCTGCACAGGCACTCTGCTATCATTAATGTTTAGTTTCATATTTTGAGTTTTCTCCAGGTGCTTCACATATCGTTCACTAAGCAAATTACAGAGCTTCATGATAGCTTTTCTAAATTTTCCATTTCTTCTTAGAGAAGACATTCGTTTCTCACAGGCACCAGGAGACGCTGGAAGATTAGGAAGAGAAGCCCAATCCACACGGTGAACTTTTGACCCAAGAGTTGCACGACGTCTAACATATTGAATCACCAATTGCCTGATAGGAGAAACAATAAATTATGTGAAACAAAATAACTACAGAAAAATTTCATAAGGAAGAAACAAAAGATTACTTCTTTCCGTATCTTAAAAGAATGGCCTATGTATCCTCATCTAGACCGATAGACAATACGCCTAATGCAAAATGAAGGTAAACGTACAAAAAGTCTCCAGTCAGGTCGTTTTGCTAGATCATTTTATCACCACATTCATACACCTTCTTAACAGTGTTAAGAAGTCGTACTGCTAGACCAACATTTTCTAGCAAATAACCAAAATGCGTCCCACCTTATGGTCCCAGTTTCCCAAGCCCTTTCTATGTGATTCACTTACTGCTAGAAAGATAATTATTTTCCTTTACCTATCTGCTTCATCTGTCCATGAGAACCTTTTTTGATGTGATGGCTTCATCTCCGAAGACGTGTGCTGACTGTAAGATAAATGACTCTCTCCATCTTCATCTGGTCCTGGATCTTGTACATTTATCAAATGATCACCTTCTTCATGTCCTGGAAAATGATGGTCATGGTCTTCCACAAATTTGTTTGTAGTATCAAGTAATGTAGCAACCCCCTGGCTAGCCAACTGTCCAGTTGCAGCACCAACTCTTGTCCGCTTTAATGATCTTTCGTCTAAAGATCTCTTTCTTTTTTGTGATGATGAACATTTATTCTTTAGTGGCTGACACTCCTTCCCATTGGCACCAAAAGCACCCTGAAATCTGCTAAGACGTTGCTGTCGCTTATCAGAATGAACGCGCAGCACCTGCAAGTGGCATTCAAAGAGTCAAAATGTATCAGTTCAACCACAAAGAAAGAAAGAACACACCAAAAACATGGGAGATAATATTCAGGTAATTGATATATATATATAAAGATAAGAAAATTTAAAATCAATCTAACCTGCTCTAAAGTCAGATTAAGATCCTTGGCAATCTTCTCACACTCTTTGTATGAGATCTTTTCATTTACGTTGTCCCTCACCATACACTTAAGGAGCTCAGCACGCTGATCAGCTGTCATAACCCGAACTGAGGCCCATGACCGGTAATGAAAAACCTGTATTGGATCAAAACTTACTATAGCAAAGAGAAGAGCACAAATGAAAATATAATTAACACATTTTATGCCCATCAACCTCAGATCTTAAGATCTAGATAATAGCTGCATATAACCAATCACATCTACATTAACAAAATCTTAAGCTTGTATGTTATAGGGAAAATTACAAAATTAAACAAAACAAACTATCCGGTGTAGTTACCCAAAATTCAGCAAGGTACTTTTTGAAAATTATGTGTGTAGAATCATATATATAGCCAACATATTTTGTTCCCTCGTAAAAGTTGACAGAGGATTTCATAACTTGAACTGAAGTCCTAGAATAGGATTTCAGAGATAAGCTCTGCATAATTGAGGAGATCTAGACAACCCTTTCTAGTATATTTCTAAACCATCTCATCGTACAATATAATGATTACTCTTGTTTACAACAAGGCCAAGTGCATACCTCGTGAACAGCAGATCCAGGAAATGCATGTCTGGCAGCTCTTGGATCAGCAGCAGCATAACAATACTCTAAAGTTTGCCAATACTCATTAACAGCTTCTTTGGTTGACAGGAAAAAGTCATGTCGGATTCGTGGGCGAAGATCAAGAAGCATAACATTGGATGTTGCAGCTATTGATGGTGGTTCCTCTATATAAGGTTTAAGTTCCATTGAATGTGTCAAATTGGCATGCAAGAACTTGATTCCATCATCTGAATGACCATTATTTACCAGCCGAATCAACTATGTCATACAATCAGTTCAGTTGTTAGGCACAATAACATTGATCTATAACACAAGATAATATAAAAATTAATCGAAAATGATTATTAAGTCAATTGCCATCCTAGTTTTCAAAGATGAGATATTTGATTTCTACTTAATCCGATAGTAGAACATGTTCCAATATTTGATTTTATGTAAAGGTTTCTTCTTGCACTTGCTATCAAATATAATGTAAAAGCCCTAATATATTGTATGAGTTACATTATTTGTCTGAAAAATCTACACTGGCGCTCAAAATTCAGTGCAGTTTCTATGCCAAAAATTAGTCATTTGGATGAAAAGAAAAAAATGACGCTACTTTCATCTTACAGTAAATAAACTGTCTAACAAAGAAAACCTGGGTGAAACAGTTTAAATGGAAAAAATGCAGCATACCATTTGAAATGATAACTACACTAGAATAACAATTTATACATGACCAAGTAATAATACCTTCAACCTGCGCAGAATGTCAATGATCAATGATAGTCTCCCAGTTGCCCTAGTATCCATCAGACCCCTATACTCTTTGATAGAAAGATCAGAAAGGCACAAACCCTTCTTGCACTTCTCAATCAGATCATCAAATTTCTGAGTAGATCCTGCAACTTGTAAAAAAAGTTCAATTGGAATGTTCTTAATGGCTGCTTCTAGGGAAAACAAATTGCAAGAGCTGTGAGGAAGTTTTAAGTCAGTCACATGTTTCCCAGATGATAAAGTATCATCCCAACCAGGTTGTTTACTGAGAAAACTCCATAAATAGCTATGAAGAAGCTTCGCACGAACCATTTTTGCCAGTACGAACCCATTAGCACGCATAGCTTCATATTTAACTGCTTTGTCATCTGAATATATACGGCCGTGAGTTCTCTGGACGCCATCCAATACAGGAACTAATTCATTATTTTTTATCTTAGATAAGCCCCGACCACGAATTTGCATTTCAAAAGATCTCAGTCTATCATGGATTTCACTGAGTAGATCAGGAGCCAAACTTTGAACAGATGGGTGCAGAACCACCCGAGTGGTGCGGGTACGACCACAGTTTGTGACAGCAGGGACACTAATGTCTAAGCATTTGCAGTGTCCTTGCCGCTGAAGATTTAATAATATTCGTTCAATAGTCTTCCTATCAATTGTTGGGCCCTTGTCCTCGAGATTCATGAGCCACCTGTGCAGCTCGACTCTCAAAATAAACTTTTCGTCCTGAAAATGAACAATGGAGCAATGGTTGAGTATTAAAAGTATTAAGCAGGAGAAAGAAGAAACAAGTCTTTTTCCTGGTGTATGTGTTCAGTGTGGGGGGGATTATGTCGAATACCTGTAAGCGTTCAAGTATCCACTTCTCCCTTCGTAAACTATTAGGAGTCAAAGACGGTGATGGATTTGTAAGTGCTTTCCGCAAAGCAGGATGTTTTGTTTCTGATGGAGAAACATTAGTTTCTATTTCTGAACGCACTAAAACTAGTTCTCCCCCTGAAGCCGTGTCACTTGGGTCATGAACCAACTCTTGCTCAGGACAAGGAAGAATATGGTTAGTTTTATCATCTCAGAAGGAGCCAGAAGGAATTTCAGTATTGGTTTCAATGTCTTTTTCTTCTCCAGGATTAGCTAAATCACCTTTAGAAGTTGAATGGTTATACTCAAGAAATGTTTGATCTGGTCCATGAGAAGCATCATCTGGATGGCTAATATCAACATGAGAAACTTCATTTTCGCTATTATTTTTTTTCAATTTACTGTGAAATGCATTAAATGAGTTAGAATTAGAATTTCCAGGTGCCCAAACTCGATATGCTAAAGTTCTTTTATGGTTCTCTGGCTGCAAAGGCATTCCAAATCTTGAAAACATGCTACGAAGCCGAGCATAGTTCTTCTTCTTATCAAGTCCAAGCCTGTCACACACCTGCTCAAGCAATTACAAATATGCAAAAAAATATTTAAAATTAGGAAGCAGTACTAAAAACCAGGCATTTGCAAAAATACGTCAGACAACTTAATGCAAGAAAAATTATCCAACTCAAACGATACTACTGATGACTTGCTTCCTGATTTATGTTCAAACTAAAAGTCCTCATTGTTTGAAATTAAGAAATGAGAGCAATTTCACATTTTCTCTATTTTGGTGCAACTTTTTAAGGAAATTTCTAGAGATGAATCTGTAATATAAGCATACAACCTAAGAAGCAAGAACAGCATTAAGCAATGACAAGAATTAGGAAACACACCTCCATAACAGTCAATCCGTTAGATCCTTCAGCATCCACCATATCATAAATTTGTTGCTCAATGGGAAGCTCTACGAGTTGCTCATTGTTGGGAAATCTCCTTCCAAATTTCACTTCTTCTTTCTCAAAATTATCTCCACATCCAAGGTTGTTTGGCTCGAATTTTTTTGAGGAGAACTTTTTCAACAATCGTAGACAACGCACAACCTACCAAATCAGAGATATCACAAATAACAAACTAAAGACAAAGATATTGTCCACAAGCAGAAAAAGAACTTTTCTTTTTTCTTTTTCTTTATTTCTTTATTTATATATTTATTTTTATAAAAAACAAGAGAAATTGGATTAAATATGATTCTAAGGAGAAATATGGACTAGCAGACCACAATAAAAAAAAGAATCTTAAGGAGGACATCCCCCCATAGAGAGACAGCCCAAAAGAAAGCACTAAGACACATTATATAAGATGAAAACAAAGTATGCTAGACACAAGACTCTGCATTTCAACTAGCAACATGTGTATAAGAATATGACAACACGAAGGCGATAACCAAAAACATGAGAAAACTATCTACCTTACAGACAAAAAGCTGATAATACAAGATAATTTTGCTCAATCATAAACCAAAGGACATCATACCATCAGCAAAGCAAAGTGTTAGGAACCCCAAAACTCAACCAAAATTCCCCAATACACAAAAGAGCAAACACAACAAATCAAGCACAAAATCTGAATATACTCTGTAATTTGTATTACTAATCTGCATTATTAGAACAGCAAGATACCAAGAACATTAGGAACAGAATTGAAAGAAAAGCAGTAAAATAACGCTAGCTATTTGAGGTGCTAGGTCCCTCCCTACTAATTCCTTTACTAAAATATTCTCTACCCTTTACAAGTCATATACCTAGATATATATACCCAATTAACACCCTACCTCATTGCTACCACCACGTGGCTATGTGCTAACAAACTTCCCACAAACCTTACTAACTAATTACCCCCCTGTTTTCCTCTCCTGTAAACATGCGTGATGGGTGTTGGTGGTGTCCTACCACAAAGGAAGTGTGAGATATCTTCTAACCTCTTCCAAATGTAGTAGATAAAGTGTTACTCTCTCATGTGATTTTCACTAGTATCCAATAGTGCTTCTTAAAAGAAAAAGGAAATTTTGGGATATTTTGGATAACCAAAAATCATTGCTGCTCTTTGCTTGTTTGCAGTTATTGGCAAAGGACAGATGACCCCTTATAGAAAAAAAAGAGTGGTAAACTTTGAAATCAAAAAATTAGTCCCCAAGAACTAGAAACATCATTGGAAAGGATAAATGAACTAATTTTAAAGGCTAAAAAGTAAATACTAACTACAATTAAAATTTGTACTCAAGGAAAGAAAAAATTGCAACATTAATGAAAGCAAAAACATTGATAATCAATTAGATTTATTGCTCACCTTCTCATTCACTTTTGCATCAAACTCCTTAACAATGCCAGCATCGGTCAACCGCCTACATATCTGAGAGCACATTCCTCATTAAATATGACAATAAAATAATGAATTAAGTTCATCAAAACTCCACACATGAACATGACAAACGAAAAAAAAAAAAAAAAAAAAAAAACTTCTACTTATGTATTTTCCTCCAAAAAGAAACAAAAGGAAAGAAAGAAAGAACCTTACAGTTCTCCATGCCTTGTGTTTCGAAGGTCCAAAATAACCTAGGCCTTGTTTAATATCTGAGACAACAAGAACCTTCAATAAAAGAAATATCAGCATAAAGACACCAAAGAGAATAAAAAACCTAAATATCTTTCATACATAACTAACCTTGCCATTAGCTTCTTCAAGCTTATCACAGATATCTTTCATTGCAGGTACAAAATCCTTTATGTGCACATCCTCTTTAACACTTTCTCCAGGGAAACCATCTTTACCCACAGCATTTTCATTTCCATTCCCAAAATTATCCACAATTGGTCCTTCCTTGCTAATCTCAAATCTTTGTTGAGAACCCAATTGTTTTGCATACCGATACAAGTACATTAAATTGGTGGTCACGCATGAACTGTTTTTTGGCTCCCCTTCACTGCCAGGTTCCCTTGTCCTCACAACTGCTGGTTGCCTCACAATCAAGCCATTGCATTCAAGGTTCCTCACTATATAAAACAAGTTATTCCCTTCAATGCCAAATTCCTTGGCGAGTTGATTTTGTGTTAGTCCATTTGATCTGCAATTAATTTTAGGCGCCATCACAATCTGCATTTGCTAGTTTTGCTATCAGTTTACAGTTCTAATTTCAGTACCTTGATCAAACTTAATTAGCTCACCAAACATATTTTCTCATTCCAGTATAACAAATCCTACTTTTATTAATACAAAAAAGCACAGAGAATATAAGAACCAAAAATTCAAGAACCACCAGTTTTGAACCCAATAATTCTATCAACTTTCTTCTCACATTAATAAAAAGGTAACCAAAATGTTCATCTCCTGCTAATAAACTCATAATCAAATGAAACCATTAAAAATATTCAATTCAACAAACAAAAACCGATCAGTCAAACAACTACTTTTCCTCATCCAGTATGCAAATTCTTGTTAATTTCAATATTCCCAGATCCTATCACATTATTAGGCCGGGAAAAATATATGTATTTGATAATCATTAAAATTCATTTTTACAAAATTCTATATCAAATTAACAACAGCATATCGTTATCTAATACCATACAAAAATATTCCATAAATCAGATTTTCTAACATTCAACATCAAATTAACGGCAGAAACATAAATTGTAATTCAATTTTTCCGTACTAACAGGTAACTAGTAAACGGTAACATATTCTAATAATTTTAAATAAAATACAAATTCTAATTCATAACACAAGGGACCTAACCTGGCAACAGCTAGACGTTCAAGAGTGCGACGTTGAGGAGCGGAGAGGTTAGAATTAGCAGCCGACGTGTCATACAGTCCAACGAAATTGTCTCTAAGCTGCAAACTGGCAACGATCTTCACGCCTAGCTTCTCGGCGTCCTCGAGGAGCTGAATCGCGGCGTCATTCGGATCAAACGCGTCGTTTTGAGAGGAGAGGAACTGGAGTGAAGGGATTTTCAAGAGGTTGGAGTAAATGGAAGCTTTGAAAGAGGGAGTGAGAGAATTGTCATTGAGATTGCCGAGTTCGGTCCACAGCGAGGCCAACGAGAGGCCGGTTTGGCCTTGCACACAGATGGCTTCGAGAGCGGAGGAGATTATGGCGTCCATTGGAGAGCATTGGGGGACGAAACGGCGGCGTTTGCAAGCTGTCGACGTTCAATTTTGAACTGTTTGATTTTTTTCAGTAAAGCATTAATAATGGCGCATTATGCCTTGGACAATTTGTGCAATCACTCGAAGGAGATGCCTTTGTATGATATAGCAAGCTGCCTCCTGGGTGAATCTCTGATTGGGATAGTCTTGTGGCTCGGTTTCACAAACACTTCTACAGTACCCACAGGAGTGTAGGCGTGACAGAATTGACGGAAGCCAAGCAGCGTGAACACGAGTCTGTTGATAGCTTTTTGCTACATGGATAAATCTGGAACCTTAAATAATTCAGAATTGGAAGGAAGGGTTTAAATATGATTCGTAGAAGAACAGGTGGAAGTCTCGGAAAACATTGGTTTGGTTTTGGTCTGGTGTTCATGAGCCTATTTATGAATAAAAGCGGCCCATAATGGAATATTAGAGCCCGTTTGATAGAGGATTTTAATTAAGTTTTTTTTTTTTTTTAATTTTTTAAATAACGAATACAAAAGAAACAGTTAAAATATTTCCGAAAACAGTTGTTTAATTCAATATTTTTACCCATATTTCCAATCTTATTCCCCAAATATTGTTTGACACATTATTCCAGAAATATTAATGCATTTTTTATTACTTTTAGACCTTTTAATTTTATTAATTTCACTAAATACCCCTAGAAAAAAGTTTAAAAATTTGCAAAAACACCCCCACCCATCATACTTGCCAAATTCTGGCAACCACCATCGGTGGTAGCCGAAATCTGTCCCTATGGCTTACACCACGACCGGAATAGGCCGGTTATTCACCGATCTGGCCTTTTCCAGCCAGATCCACAGTGGATCTGGCCGGAAAAGGCCAGATCTGGCCGTCAGCGACAGCCAAAGAAGCCATCGTTGACCAAAAACGATGGCCATATCTTTGGCCATCGCTGACGGCCAAAGATGGACCTTTGCGGCCATCGACGGCCAAACGGCCAGATCCGTGGTGGATCTGGCTGGAAAAGGCCATATCGACGCGTTACGATACAGATTCGACTGGTTTGTGTCGTAACGCAGTTTTCCAGCCAGACTCCGACAGTGGTGACCGGAATCTGGCACTGCAGGTGGTGGGAGTATTTTTGTCATTTTATATATTAGGATGTTTAATTAAATTAGTAAACCTAAGGGTTTTTTTATAAATTTTTAAATTTTACCTTGTAATACTCCCCTATTCGACTATCCAATATAATTCCCAAAATCCTATCTAAAATAATGAACCAAAGGCTTTATGTACAATCCTAGAAATAAGTGTAGGATACTAGGATCATAAAAGTTAAAACAATTAAAGGTATTTTTAATAGCTTTCTATAATTTTTAATTTGAAAACGGTTTTTTAAATATCATATCTAACCTACATTCAAATATTAAAAATAGTAAGATACGACTAAAAAAATTGTATAGCATTTTAGTTTATAAAAATTACTTTGGATTATAAATCAAAAGGACCCTAAATGTTTCTACTTTTTATAAGGTTAACATAATTAAAAAAAAAAAAAAAATAGAGAGATATAAGAACAAATAAACCTTCAATTTGTGGGAATTTAGAAAAATTAAGTCCTCGTCTTAATTTTTTCATCCTTGATTATCCTTAAACCTTTAAATATCTCATGTCATGTCATGTATATATCTTTATCGCATAGCCATATTGATAACTAATGAAAGAAAAATTAGGGAATCATTTGTCACATCCCATATCATTAGCAAATAATTTTGAGATTCAATTTATAAAACTTGAGTAGACGTGTTTTAGAAAAAAAAATTGACCCTTTCTTGAAGCTTAAAAGCAAATTCATGTAGATCTAAACTGAAAATGAACAATATTTACTACATACAATGTCTTGTAACAAAATGCGAAATCTATGGTTAGACCTAGGGTGTGACATTTTGGCGGTCACGATTTCTAAAGTTTGGTAGGCACATACTCATTTCAAGCTAACCGGCAGCTACTCCTTAAAAAACCAGGAATCCACAAGGAAGGATAAGACATAAAATAAAATAAGGACCTAAACTAAAGTTGTTCGTTGGATGAGACCGGGAATTGAAAATTGTTTATCAAAAAGCGAGAGGAATTGACTAAACTGCTGTCAACCAGCTCTGAAGGTGATGAGTGGTTAAAAGTTATATATATTTCGTGATTTTTATGGATAGATTATAGGGAATTCATGACTTTAACGGATTATTTTTACCAATGTTTTAAAACCCTGCCTGGCTGGTTTAACCAGTTCAACTGGGACCCGGAAGCTTCAATGGGTCAGGTTTATTTTTTTCATATTCACCCAAAACCCTAGGATTTGGGAGGATGATCAGCGAACAATTGACGGTCAGGATGTTGAGACTTTTGAAGAGAAAGTGATGGTGAATGCAATGGTGGTGACAGAGTTTATTTATGGCAAGTAAATCGACCAGAAATCGAACAAAACTGGTAACAGCAACAACTAGCTTTTGCCGGCAATTGGCAAGGCTAACGAGGGTGGGGTGAGGTGGGTTTTGGTCGGGAGGAAGAGGGGAGTAATTTCTGGGTGATGGGGAGGGTTGTCGACACTAGCGTCGATGAGATCTAACTTGGAATGCCGATGCCGGTGTTGGTGAGATCTGGCCGAAATTGAACCTATTTCGGCCAGATCTTAGGTATATTTTAAAGGGAATTGGCTCAAGGGACGATTGAGGTTGCATCTGTGGTGTCGTCGGCACCAAATAGTCGCCAACCAATTTGTATTCGGGGTCTGTATTTGCTAATTTTAGAAGTTTTTGTCAATGGTCAAACCGGTTAAATCGATCAACCTGGGACCCAACAACTTTGTCAGGTTTCACCCTGGGTTGGGTTTTAAAACATTGAATTTTACACAAGTTTATTTATATATTTCTATTGTCAAGAATCACAAGTACCTATATGAGTTTTAGGTTTTTAGGTGGAAAAACGGATTTTCAAGAGGTTGGAATAAATCGAAGCTTTGAAAGAGGGAGTGAGAGAATTGTCATTGAGATTGCCGGGTTCATCCACAACGAGGCTAACGGGAGGCCAGTTTGGCATTGCACACATATGGCTTCGAGAGTGGAGGAGATTATGGTGTCCATTGGAGAGCATCGGGGGACGAAATGGCAACGTTTGCAAGCTATCGAAGTTTAGTTTTGAAATTTAATGGATTATTTTTATAAGAGTTTCTTTATATATTTCTATTATTAAGAATCACGGGTATGTGTATGAGTTTCAAAGTTTTTACGCGGAAAAATGGATTTTCAAGAGGTTGGAATAAATCATGCTTTGAAAAAGAGGGTGAGAGAATTGTCATTGAGATTGCCGAGTTTGGTTCACAACGAGGCCAATGAGAGGCCGGTTTGGCCTTGCACACAGATGGCTTTGAGAGGAAAGCTTAAAAAGCTCTTGGTGGGGGTTTCATTTTATTTGCCAAAAGAAGACAATGAACTCAAATGACACCGTTTTATGTTCCTCTTCCAACTAAAAGCACACCGTCTTACCTTGGACTAGTAACCATGGACCTACCCAATCACAAAAGTATTTCACGGTCAAGACTCTGCCACATCATTATATCCACTTTATCTATTGTAGAATCAAAAGCATCAAATCACAACAAAGCCCTCTTTATGTTCAAATTAGAAAGGTATAATAGTAATTAAACATCCAATATACAATCTTCTCTTCAAAGTCTTCTTCTTCATTGTTTTCACATATTTTTTTTTTCTTCCTTCTGTGATGAGAAAAGCTAAAAAAGCTATAAATTAAAATCCACTCCAAACACACCCTAGGGTTTCTTTATAGAACACAAAACCCTAAGCACATAAAAAAACGTAATACACATTGTAAAAGATCTCTCAATTTCATCTGATCACAAATTTAAGTAACCCAGGATCTAGCCGGAAAAGGCACAATCAGTGCACTACCGACCAGATCCAGCCGATAGTACGCAATTACGGCAGATTCTGGCCACCTTCCGATGGTGGTGGCCGGAATCTGGCAAATGTAGATGAATGAGGGTGTTTTTGTTAATTTATAAACTTTATTATTGGGGGTGTTGATCAAATTAACAAACCTAGGGGTTAAAAATGATCTAAATATTTTCAGAAAATGCTATTAAAAAATTTACAAAAAACTTCTCAGATACTAGTCAACTTAACTTTTTCTAAAAGATTATTCTAAAATCTATCAAAATAGTGAACCAAACAGACCCATAGGATTTTAATTAAATTTTGAACCCAATAATTCTATTAACTTTCTTCTCACTTTAATAAATAAGTATCCAACATGTTCATCTCCTGATAATAGACTCATAATCAAATGAAACCATTAAAAATATTCAATTGAACAATAAAAAACCGATCAGTCAACCAACTACTTTCCCTCATCCAGTATGCAAATTCTTGTTAATTTCAATATTCCCAGATCCTATCGCATTATTAGGCCGGGAAAAATATCTAACTCTAACATGCAATTTATTTATTTAGACTTGTAATTCCAATCATAACAAATAGTCTTGTGTTAAGGATACTAGGTTAATCCCGAATGCCTTACGGTAATATCTTGGTTTAGAAAGTGTGAACCCTACAGAATGAATTGAGATATGATAGTTAGATGGTAAACATAAAACTGGATAATTATGGTGAAATTGGAACCCTAGGTTTTGGTTAATTGGTTTTTAACTCATTTGAATATTGGTTTTCTTCTAGTTGATAGTTTTAGTCATTTTACTTTAATTTGGAATTTCATCAATCTTTTCACTTAATTTTAGTTTGTTATTTAAATTAAGGCGTCGTTAATAGGATTATTGGCTAGCTTACAAATCTCAATGGGATCGACATTTGCTTTTGCACATTAGACTGCGATAACGATTCGTGCACTTGCTAGGTAGTAAATTTGTTCATCAAAAGGTTGCGAAGCCTTTGGACTGCCCCTGATCCAAAGATATAGATAACTCTATCCTAGCTACAGGGGAAAGGGAAAGAAAAACAAAGATAACCATCAAACTATAGAACCTCACCTCAAAAGGGTGTGACATTCTTCTCCAACATAATTAGGCTATTATGTCCATCACAAATTCAATGATTTTATACAAGAAATGTGTACATTATAATTTGTATCATAATTTTCATATCACTGTTTATATAACATCAAATGATCAAAATAACATTATCATATAAACAACGTATAACATCAAATGATCAAAATAACATTATCATATAAACAACGATAGTCTCATATCCATGTCACATCAGTATTTATGCATGAAATCAATTATACACTTAGATACATAATATTATCATATAAACAACAATAATCCATTCGTCAAATAGCCCAGTGGTTATGGTGAATTGGGGGTAGGGTGGATAGGCACATGGTCTCAAGTTTGATTCTCAATTTAAACATCCATGATTTAAATGAGGGTTGTTTTATATGTGCCAAATTTTTTTTTTTTTGGTAATTGGTGTGTCCGAGCTAACTTACGCGCATTTTAACTAATCCTTGGGGTTTATTGAATATCCTACAAGTCCAAAGAACTAGGTAAGCCAAAATGTTATTGTGGTAGGTGACCCCAAAGTTTGAATCTAAAAACTCAAGAAATGAAGCAAACTTCATTGACCATCAGGCCAACCCCTTGGGGTTTATATGTGCTTACTTGTTAAGCATAAACACAGACAGTCATGCCTAATGTCAACAAAGTAATGGTCTTTTATTCTTGCTTGAAGAATTAATTAGCCTTTATATCAATGATTTAAGTGGGGGTTGTTTTATATGTGCTTACTTGTTAAGCATAAACACAAAGGGTCATGCCTAACATGTCTAAAGTAGTGGTCTTTTATTCTTGCTTGAAGAATTAATTAGCCTTTCTAACAATGCCAATAATGGTGATTTGTGAGGACTATATTCCCTTTGGGTTATCCCATTTGAACAAGATTTAGAAATATTAAATAAGTGATTCCCTCTGAAAATGACCCTTTTGTCCTTTTATTTACACCAAGGCCCAATGAGCCTTGTAGTTGCCAAACACAAAAACAAAAACAAATGTTTTCTTTTTTTCTTTTTAGTTAAATTCATTTAATTGAGATAAAATAAGAAAATGGAAGCTTTATAATAATTATTTTTAAGATAAAGTCGTTGTTGTTGTGATTTGCACTAACGAGAAATACGTATGATTCGTGATGAAATCTACGTAGGAGTTTATATAGAACCTGTAATTGCAATACTGGATTAATGGATGAGTAAGAAACCCAATTATAGTACAAGAAAAAGATTTTTTAAGTAGTTTGGATGTTAAATCCTATATTCACTGCTCTTGTATTGTTTTTTGTGTTTTTTCTATGCACAAATACGATTTACAAAGTATGAATAAAAATCCGATCTCTAATTTGAGTTGAAAATAAGCTTATATAAAATAATAATAACAAACTTATAAATAAAGTTAATCTAAAAAGAATAACACGTGTCGTGAATCCATGTTTTAGTGATTTACCGCACAACAAACGTTTTTTAAATTATAAGAATAATATATTTTAGTTCTTAATTATTTGAGTCGTATTATATAATAAATCCCTATTATTTACATTTCAAGAAACTCTCTCACTTTATCAACTAAAATAACTGACTAAAGAAAGAAAAATTTACTTTTTTGTCCTTCATACTTCATTTTATTTCTTTCTCCTCCCTTATAGTGATAGACTTATAGTTTATATCATATTATCATATATGATATATCTTCCCCTGTCTCTTTCTCTCTGCCTTTTGTTCTTTGTTTCTTCCTTCCCCTACCAAACAAACATAGTTGAATAGAGATAATAAAAACAACAAAAACAAACATCCTTCTACCATGTTTGTCTCTCAAATCTTAAAGCTTTATTTCTTTTCTCTTTCTTTCTGTTCATGATTTCAAGGCCTCCTTTTGAATCTCAAAGCTTTTACAAGATTCCATTTAAATCCCAATTCTTTATTTTTCTTCTCCAACATGTGCTTCCATTTCAAGGTATGTGATGAAAGAGTCTCAAACCTTGGTGGGTTTGTTTTAGTTTTGGGTTAGATTGGGTTTGTGTGGTTTGGATTCATAATCTTTGTATGCTTTTGGGAACAACTTGCTTTTGCTTTGAGAGATGTTTTTGATCTCTTTCATTGGTATAGCGTTTTAGCTAATTGTTTTGGAATGGAAACAGAGACACATTGTTTTTGCATCACAAAAGTACTTTTTTTTCCCCCTTTAATTCTCAAATGAAAAAGAAAGAAAAAAAAAAGATGTTCTTTTTATGAGAAAGATGCAGGCTTTGATGACACAAACAATCCCATGTTTGTTTCTTTGGTTTCATTTGTTTTCTCGTATGAACCTCAGTAGTTCTTTGTTTGGTTTCTGAGAAAAGAAAGGAAAAGCAAAGAAAGTAATATTTACCTCAACTAAGTCAAATTCTTGGATTACCTCTATTGGGTAGAGGGTCAATTGTGAAACCTTTTTTTTCTTTATGCGATTCTTTTTCCTGTATTTAGTCAGAAACCAAACCCATGATAAATGATTCTTTGTTTTTTCAATTTTGTATTTTTTGAATTTGCTAATGTTGTACTGGTGTGTTTTAATAAGATAAATTTATGATTTCATCTTATGTGGCTTGACTTATACTATCTTTGGTGCAGGAATAGGACCTGGTTTTTGATTGAAAAGAAGTGGGATTGAAATGGAAGGGGATGTATTTTCAGGCATAGGTAATGGAACACAAGTAGATGGTAAGGTCTTACAAACATTCCAAAAGAGTTTTGGGCAAGTTCAAGACATTTTAGACCAAAACAGGGCGCTAATCAATGAGATTAACCAAAACCATGAGTCAAAGGTCCCCGATAACTTGACACGAAATGTCGGGTTGATCAGAGAGCTTAATAACAACATTAGAAGGGTGGTCAATCTCTATGCTGATCTCTCTACCTCCTTCTCCCAGTCAGTGGAGGCCTCATCAGAAGGAGAATCAGGTGGCACATTAAAATCCGATGGAAAAGCCAGTCAGAAGAGGATTAGATCTGGGTAGTTTATTGAGCCAGGCATTCCTGTAAGTTTTATGTTCTTTCCTGGTGGAATAAGGAGGGTATTTTGATAAAAAGAAGGAACAAATTTGATGAGATTCTGTTATTCCTATGAATGAATTATATGTATAATGATATTTCAAGCTTCAATATAATTAATTCTCACTGTTCCAATCGAAATAGCATTTTCAAAAATTTACCAGTGTAATCTTGTATAACAGTATTATCAACTCATTGAAATCAAGCATGCTTCTCTGTATTGATCCTTTTTCTTTTTGCATAAATTCTCAGGTTATAAGTTTCTGCTTGATGCTATGTTTCTTTCTTCATGTACTTGGTTCATTGATGGATGACATGTTACTTGTTAGGTTTATGTCATTTGTACTTTGTCTAATCTTTAATTATTGATCAATAGACTTTAGCTTGGTTTCTGAACTGTCATCAGAAAAAAGAGTAGGGATTATTTAAATTTTTGTTATCTTTTAGGTTGTTAGAGAGGCTCTAGTCTAATATGCTTATCATTATTAATCATCTTTTATAGCCTCATCTCAATTTTGTATGATATCTCTTGATCTGCTTTTGATGGGAACTTTCAACAACCCACTTTATTCCTTTCCCATGTTTGTCAAAAGAGATTCCTTATGATGTCTGTACCCTAGTTTAGATTTTATTGAGGACTTGGTATATACTGTTCTTTTAACCCTGAGATTTCAAGTTATTTCTCTCTAGAACCTCCTTTCTTTCCCTCCATTTACTCACATATGCACAAACAAACAATTTGATTTAACAATTACTTTTGTTGGTGGACCCAAATGACTTAGTTTCATCTCTTCTGTGTATTTTCTTTGAGCCGTTTATTACTTTTCTAGATTTAGGTGGAGGACCCATGTGAATGATTGCTGTTGATAGCTGGATTTTGGTTTTGTATTTTGAACATTGTAATATGTATCACTTCAATTATTGCTGCAGACTAGATCTTAACTTATGCTTCAGTTTACTGCACCTTGAATCTGCTCAGCTTTGCAATGGTTAGATTTATTGAGTCAGTTTTACTCATGTGATTAATCTTTTATTTTTATTTTTTGACTAATCGAATGCCCAAACAATTAGTCCTTGGTGGATGGATATACTGGAGTAAATACAGCATCTTCTTTGTTTAAAGTGATAATGAAGTCAAGAAGATATGATTTGTCAGGCTGTTTACAACAAGCCAGGACAAATAAGAGTTTGGGAACATGGGGACAGAGAGAGAATCTACTTCTTTATTTACTCCTTGTTCTTTCTGCGTATGGATTTGCATAGAAATAAAGTCTTCCTTGTTTTTTTAATGTTAATAATGGATTGCAGATGCTGGAACTATGTTGCTTTTGAACTAACATATTAAATTAACTCCATCTATCCTTAGGCATAACTAGTCCTTGTTGACATTATGATCATTATTGCAATGATAATTTATTAATACCTGCATATGTTAGATCTTGTAAACACTTCTAATACCGTGTGTTCTGGCGTGAATCACGTTTAAGGTGAGATATGCGTTTGATTTTAGAGCATCATTTTTAGTATTCTGGTTCCTTTTCATTCTGCAGATTTTGAGTCTGCATTATACAATTAATCATGTTTAGAGTACAAGATCCTGTAAAGACTTCATTATCGATAGATCCGATGCATCGTTATGATAAATCCATGTGATTCAAAAGTACTTAGAAAAAAGAAAGTGTACTTGTGATCTTGTTAATGGAGCATCCAATTTTCTGCCTAGAGTTATGATAAGAATATTTGAAAAGATTAAATATATTTTCCTTGTGGAAAATGAGATGGGGAATCTCAAGACTTTTGATAAGGATGGGAAGGAAGATTTTGGTTTAAAAAATCCTATGCATATACAGCATGCTATCCACATGAAGTGGAGGAATCAGACATTAAAGCATGTAACTGTGTCTTTACTCCGTTGTCTCCTTTTCTTTCTCTGTTCCTTCAATTTTTATATCAAATGAGAGTTTGATTTTGATTCACTTCCTTATTATGCTAAGGGAGAGAGACACAGAAAGAGATTGCTCCTAGGCAAAAGCCAAATGGTCCCTCATCTGAACACAAGACTCCACAACTTTAGAATCAAAACTCAATTTTTCTTCTTTTTCACCTGAACTTCTTTGTATCACAGTCGATAATTTCTCGAATTAGAGAAAGTTTAATAGCTCTTATTCGATAGCGATTTTCGCAAATATACTAATTAAGTGACAAAATTACAGATACTTATTTAACTCCAAAAGTGACATAACAAGAAGACTTGAAATTCACATGGTCCATGGAGAAAGTGACAAACCATTTCATTGTAGCAACATGTAGGCAGATTGTGGTTCAAACAAACAAATAAGCACTCCCTTTCTTCCTCTTGTCGACCAATTTATGGGAAATATCAACACTGAAAAAATCAAAATAAATGGATGGCAACTGGCAAGATTCTGTGCATTGTTTAAGCATAATAGTGGAAGTTATTGTTGTGCTTTTTCCATCAATCTAGTCAAACACTCTTTCCAATCTGAAACCTTTTCCTCTCCATTAACCACCTACTAGCACACACAGCAAAAGAGAACAAAAAACAATAAAGAAAATGGTGGGTTAAGATACATAAACAAGGTATTGTTTAGGATATTACATTGTAAATATAATCAGTTGATTGTCTCTTTTAGATTATATCTTTGAAATAGGCCACTTCTCATATTTTTTTTCTTGATGTTCTTTGCAATAACTCCATTTTCATATTGTTCCTAGGCTGAATTGACAATAAAGTAAGAATGACTTCATTAGATACAAATTTGTCATATTTTACATTACCTGTGAATGAGAGTTTAAACTAGTTTATAAGACTTAGGTCCTCAACTAAGAAGATGTGTTTCGGGGGAAGAACAGCTGTGTGAAACCCAAAAAATTTATGTGGGCTAAACTCAAAACAAGACAATATTTATTTGGTTTGGTCTAGACTATCACATAAAATAGACGGAACTAAGAGTTGGTTCAATCAAACTATAACTCTAAAAAGGGTTTTTTTTTTTTTTTTTCCTCAAAATTATACTTATAATTTAGTTTTACTTTTTGTTGAACATCCTCTTAAATGAACCTTCTTATCATACTTAACATTTAAGAAAATGTGGTTGATTTTGAGCTTTACATACAACTCTGTTTACATGAATGCATGGTTATAAGTATCTGTCACTAACCTCAAATGTTAGTCCTGCTTGTGGGATTGCGTTAAGTGCTTCCACACAAATAAGGGCAGCATCCTCCTTGCTAAGGGTTCCCGCTGCGGCACAACCCTGTTTTGAAGAGCAGAGGGGGGTTAAATCTTATCTGAATTGTTAGTATGCATAACCAAAAAAGATAAACACTTCTCAGTTTATTTGTTCAATATAAAAAAAATGAAACTGTTCCAGCTTATTATGCTTACAAAGCGTACATGTATATTGTATAGTGTACCTCTTCAAATCTGAAACCTTGCTTTCCACCTGGAGTATTTTCCAACATTCCAACCCTTATGATAGTGTAAGAAATTCCTGAGGCCTTAAGCGTAGACTCATCTTGCTCAGCTAATTTTCTAGCATTTCCTTTCATGAGAGCTTGAATGCCACTGCTACCTCTATAAGCAGATAACTGCAGCCTTATTAAACCACAATAATGTACAAACTTTACTAGATTGACAAGGCTTTTATTTATATTCACTCACACGCACATACTCATCTGTGTTGTTTTTGTGTGTGAGAGCGAGGGAAAGAGAGAATATATACCTGAGATAAGAGAATTACATGCTTTACTCCTGTCAGGCTCTCAACTTTTGATAGGAAGCCTTCCTGTGAAAGAAGGAAACAGAGGATTCTAGTACAAGTTAATGGCAAAGTAAGTAATTGAGGGTTGATAAAAGATATCTTGAACGTTACTCAGTAACGAATAGGGACTTAAGATTGACACGAACAACACTTACACTTGGACATATGATTGCCCGCACGCCTCGAAGAGCTTTCTTGAGGAAGGTTTTGTTACTTGTGTCTCCAACCATTGACTGAGAACAGGCAATGATATTATTAGTCATTTGAATGTAAATGTAGAAAATTAAGTAAGAAACTTTAAGCAACAACTTTTACCACCCACCTCAACATAAGTTCCAAAGGATTCCATGGCACTTCGCTTATTCTTCACCAATGCTTTTATTGGAGTTCGTTTCACAATCAAAGACAATATCACCATCTGCATATAAGGTACAGAACACATCCAAGGTTCATAATTCTGAATTCAAAATCATGTTAAGACAATCAAAAGTAAGATCCAACATCAAAGAGACAAAGACCCTTGAAATGGCATAGTGAAATTAGATGAATCGAGGCTAGTTGTCAAATGGATGTGTATTAAAATCGTAAATCTTAAGATTAAATGGATAATGTCATTACTATTCGAGTAGGATTAAAGTAGTTTAATCAATGTTATTTCACTATAAGTATCTTAGTCGTGAACTTCCTTCCAAATTTTAAGCTATGAATCACGAATTTTCAAGTCATGAACCTCTAATATACACCAATTTATATCTAAGCGAAGTTTGTACATGAATATCAATGGCGCAAAACACACACATACCTGACCAATCTCACTATCTCCATCTGTTACCAAAACAGCATTCCTTTCTTCATCTGTTTTTTACAGTAAAATTCCAAGTTTAAACAATCTTCAAGACATTCATATACACTATATATAAACTCTAAACATAAACATCCATGGCCTCTAGGTCACCTGGATAGTCATCTTCCAATTTATCTTCCGATCCATCTTTTGGGAGTAGATCAGGTGCCCCATACCATTTCCTCAACTTTGGACCCCCTACAAACCCAACACAAACACACACATAACATATAACATAGAAACAAAAAGTTTCCATTTTTTACACAAACCACACTCAAAATTTTCAAACTTTCCAATACTCTGTACTGTACCTTCAATGTAGTCTAAAATTTGATCAACAAAGCTGATCTTTTTCTTGGCGGAGCATCGATAAAGAGGCCTTTTTTCGATGTTTAACACGAAAGGTGGACCGGGGTTACATGGATTTCTGGGAGAAGGAGAAGAAATGAGTGAAGTTTTGAAGAAGGGAGTCGAAAAAAAAGCAGTACCCGCCATTGATAATAGCTTTTCAGCTTCACTACCCGTCTGCTAGTATTGCATTGTATCAGCCAACCGTTGGTTTTCATTCCCGCTAAAGTGGATAATTCTACCGATAAACAAACATGTGCAATTCCTTATACACCCCTATGTTGTGTAGGATGATGAAAGCTGATGGGTTGGTTGCAATGTGCACGGTTGCAGCGTATATTTTCTCCTGGTTTAACGATCCACAATCCAGCTCATTGATGATGATGATGATGATGATGATGAGATCTTGGTGGGTCACCATCAAACATTAGCCTTATCTTTTCTGGACTAGTTTGATTTATTTTACAGTTGTCATTTTGACTTTTACCTTTGTAAGAAATTTTCAGAATCTCTCACCCCACCTCCATTTCTTCTCAATTCTTCTGCTTTTTTCTCAGCAGATCGTTTCTCCGTTGCCAAGATGGCTGCTCCTGCTCCGGCTTTGAAATCAAGGTGAGAAAATTTAGTAAGTAATAAAAAGTCAAAAATTTTGGATAGAAATCAGCGACTCCACTGGGGATCGAACCCAGAGTCTCTGGTTCCGTAGACCAGCGCCTTATCCATTGGGCCATGGAATCTGTTTGGTGAAAAAATTTACCCTTTCGATGATCATTTTCTAAGATGCCCACTTGGAAATTACTGCTTGTTTGTCGGTCATGCTTGTTCTTGTAATTGTGTTCTTTATAGAATTTTTATGGGGATTTGTGAGTTTATTAATTTCTTAATGATATATTATTGTTTATTGTTAATGGGAAATGTGAAAATATGCTTAATCCTCAAAAAGGAGAAAGCTTTTCTGGTTTTAATTCACTGTAGAATGCTACTTTTTTTCTGTTTATTTGTGCAAAGAATCAATCTATTGGTATAATAAAAGAAACCTCTTTATTAATTGATCCATGAATCAACACAATTTAGCCTGAAAATTGCTAAATGGCTTTTGGATTTTTAGAAAATTTTATCTAAGACACAAAATGCTGTGTCTTTGATAGCTGCTTGTATGAATTTTCATTTGGTTGGGAGATTTTGTATTGGGGTTTGGCTTGTTGAATCTTTGTTGCTTAACAGAAAAACATTTTATTGTTGTTAGCATTGATTTACTCCTCCCTTACCCAGAAATGGTGGGCTAAGAGATCCATAACAATGCTTAAATTGAGTTGGAGTTTGTTAGTCTTTTTGAACTTCTTATAGTTCTTGGAGTTCGGGAACTCCTACATTAGTATTTTGTGTTCTTTATTGAAGTTGGATTGGATTGAATATTTTAAGTGAAACATGTTTCTTTTGAAAAGCATTACTTGGGTTAGGCTTTTGCTGACCATTGATTCTGTATTAAGAGGATGCTTAACAATGCATATTTGAATTTTCACCCAGTGCCTTTTACTCTACAACCATGTTATATTTATATTTGCAGAAACTTGCTGCTTAATATCAAAGGTGTGGATACTTTCTGTTTTTGCTCGCAATCTGGTTTCTTTCCTTTTTTATAAGTCTATTTTAGTATTTTTTTTGAAGTGGTAGCTGTTGAAATTTGAAACCATATAGTAAGGACTTTATTCTTTTAATTTGATTTCTCTCATATAGTTGCTGGTGCATTGTTATATCTTTTTAATCAATTGACATCTTCATGAGCTTGTGGTATGACCTTTTTCTTTTGTTGTGAGATTAAGGCTTGACTTGTGGAATCTTTGTATGATATGTTTTACACTGCTTGGAAGATCAAAATTTGTTGTTAGCATTGATTTATTCTTCCGTTTCCCAATAATGATGCGTTAAGCGGATCTACAACAATGCTTAAACTGAATTTGGAGTTTGTTAGTCTCTCTGAACTCGTTATAGTTCTCGGAGTTCTGGAACTCCTACATTCGTTCTATCCTATTCAGAACATATTGTAATTTCATGAGTTGCGTGATTCCTTTATCTTTAAAAACTTATTTCTATCTATGTTCTGTGCTGAACTTTGTGCCAAACAATGTTGTTCTTATATATCTATTATGCCATACTATGTGTAGGGTTCTTCTTTGTGGAAAGCTCAATTCTCCTCACGCCGAGTCTGTTGTGCTTAACTTAAACTCATGACATCCTCAGGTGATTCTGATAATGAATTTGATTTCTCTTTTCAGTTGCTTCGGCCCACAATGTTACAGCTTTTTAACCAATTTATTAGTTTGTGATCTGACCTTTTCTTTTGTTGTGAGATCATGCATTCGATTTGTGGAATCTCTGTATGATTTTTACAGTAGCATTGATTTAATCTTCCGTTTCCCAATAATGATGGCTTAAGCGGATCTGCAACAATGCTTAAATGAAAATATGGCGTTTGTTAGTCTCTTTGAACTTGTTCTAGTTCTTGGAGTTCGGGAACTCCTACATTCCTACTCAGAAGATACCGCAATGGTTTCTTCATGAGCTGCTTCTTTTCTATCTATATTCTATGGTACTTAGACAATCTGAACGATCGTTCTAATAAGCCATTCTATGTGCAGGCTATTCTTCGCGTAAAGCTCAATTCTCAGCATGCCGAGGCCATTGTGTTTAACAAGGATACATGACATCCTCCGGTCAGCCTGTAGACGAAGAGTTGATATTATTCACAATACCGTGAATGAGCCATAGGTGCTCCTTGGACAGATCAGCTTACTCACTCTTCACTGTTGTTCAATAGTATGGTGAGGGCCGTCCATTACAACAACATGATAAAACTTAAATCTTAAGCTCTAAACACTAAACCCTTTTCCTGCAGAATTAGTCGTCGTTCGACATAAAAGTTTTATTTTCTGTTGTCAGTTTTCTCTTAGTCGACATCACATTTGAGGGATGCTAAGGGTATGTATCTCCGGCGGCATTACCTCTATTTGATCGGAGTCATCATCTTCAACAATTCTTATGGAGGTTGCAGAAAGCTTAAGTAGCAGGGATTTAAGAAAAACATGTATAGATGTATTTGTGTCTATCACGTTGATTCAATGTAAACAAAGGACATATATTTTTTACTCTCAAATCTTAATGTGAGCGAGATTTGTATCATAGTTCTTGTTTATTGATATTATTAATTGAAAGTACTATTACTTTCTCGGAAAAAAAAAATAAAAAATTATGAGATATAACCACTCTTGGTTGGTCGGACGGCATGGACTCTTTAGTGTGTTACTTAAGAGGTTTTAAGTTTGATTTCTCTTGATTGTTAATAGGGATAACTTTTGGAGGGTTTATCTGATCGTTAATTTTAGGGTTTTGGATATTAATCGAAGTGCATATAAGCTGATCCTAGCATCTTTAGTCACAAAAAAAAAAATAATAATAATAAAAAATAAATTATAAGATATATAATATAGTGGCTACAGGAGGATTTACTTGGTTATTAATTTTAGGATTCTGAGAGATTAGTAGAGATACGTACAGGTTAGCTGATACCTTCTCGCTCACCAAGACAAAAAAAAATTAAAAGATATATAATATAGTTAAATTATTTATTTAATGAGATCCATTATTTCCAATAATTTGTAAGATTAAGAACTTGGTATGAATGGACATCAAGATAGTAATTATATTTAAATTATAAAAGGAAATTCAAATTTAGAAACAATGAACCTAACGAATAGTACCCAAAATACCGTACCGGCACGAAAGCAATCCGGACTCCACGTCGTCTTATGAAATCCAACTCACACGAAATTTCGAATCCGCAACTGTAACTCACACACTATACGCAACATCGTCTCTCACGCGCTCATACACTCTGACTCTCTCTCTCTCTTCCACACACACTAAGCTTCTCTCTGACAAAGTTTTTCTCAGTCGCCGCAACTTACTTGCTTTCACTGAGTCAACTCGGTCGCCTTTCGCGCTTACTACACNAATGGACATCAAGATAGTAATTATATTTAAATTATAAAAGGAAATTCAAATTTAGAAACAATGAACCTAACGAATAGTACCCAAAATACCGTACCGGCACGAAAGCAATCCGGACTCCACGTCGTCTTATGAAATCCAACTCACACGAAATTTCGAATCCGCAACTGTGACTCACACACAATACGCAACATCGTCACGCGCTCATACACTCTGACTCTCTCTCTCTCTTACACACACACACTAAGCTTCTCTCTGACAAAGTTTTACTCAGTCGCCGCAGCTTACTCGCTTTCACTGAGTCAACTCGGTCGCCTTTCGCGCTTACTACACTCCTTCTATGGTGAGTCAAAACTCGTTCAATTCGTTTTGATTTTGCTTTAAATTTAAACTTACTATTGAGATGAAATTTAATTTTAGTTAATTGGGTTTGTTTTGACGATGAGAAATTTGAAATATAAAAATATTGTCAAAAAAAATATGCGTATTGAAAATTGGAGATGAATTTGGATTTATTTATATTGTGTTTCTGTTTGAGTTTTGCATGTAGTGGATACAGTTGGTACAATTAGACTTCAATTTATTTATAGGTTTATTTTTGTTTCCATTTATTCATCGCTAATGAGGTTTGAACTAATTACTATTGGATCCTCTTCTTTTAAGGAGGTCTCTGATAAATTTTAGAGTGTTTATGACAGGTTTTTATCATTTCATTTTCAGGAAGGTTTATGATATTTTTTTCAAACTTAGTGGGGTTTATCTGTAATTTAGTCAAATTTCAAGGGAGGTTAATGAAGTTTTATGTTTTTTGGTGGAGTTTTGGTTTTTAGCTTTGACTAGGAAATAAAATAAACTTTGCTGATGGTATTATGAAATTTGGCTTTGTTGATGGTATTTTTGTTTGTTGTTTTGGATTGGCTGTGTGAGTTCATTAATGGAGTTCCAGTAATGGGTTTCCTTTTATTGATGATTTTATAGCTTTGGGAAGGAAAAATTGACTTTGATTTGTTTTCTGTTTTTTTTCCTGTGTTTTTTGGGTGGGTTTTCAGTTTGTGTATTTGAGTTGCATGTGGTGGATTTTCCATGGAAACAGTGGTTGAAGTTGAGGGAAATGAGGAAGGGAAGTATAAGGAAAGTGGGGTTGAGAAAAGTAGCTCTTCGTTGTCTTCTCCAAAGCTGGGTGCAGACCCGGTTGTTTACAAGCTTGTTCGGGTACAGTTTTTACATATGTAGAATTGTAATGACTTGTTGGTTTATGTTGTTTTATCGTATGCCAATGAAGAAAATTTGTTTATGTTGATTTGTGGTTGCCCTAGACGGTTATAATCACTCTAATTTAGTTTAAAGTTGGACTTAGAACTCTGAGGAAGGTTTTCCTTCAATTGTAAACTTTGAGGAAACTTCATATTGTGTATTGTTACTTGGCTTGTGTAAATGTAGTTTTGTGTTTGAACTGCAATTCACATGCTGGCAAAACACCCTTTTTTTGTTTATTAGGATACATAGTAGCTTCCAAGAATTTGAGAATTTTAAGAGGAACTCATTTTTTCACTCCTTAAATTTTTATACTGAGATATAAGCTTTTTCACTTTGAGATGAAGCCTTATTTTCTCTGTTAAACAATGCATAATGAGAGTTATAACTGCTGCTTGTTTATTTCGTCTTGAATATGATGAAAAGATATTGCATCTTCAACTTTTGATGGAAATAAATTGAACCACCTCTTCATGCATATTAGTGTTTCAAATTCAACGTCATCTGTTAAGTAGTTACTAATTTAATCACCCTGGTTAAATGGTAGACTTATTAGTTGCTAGAAACATATGATGGGTGATTTGTATCTTATCATTAAATTTTTGTTGTTGACTTGAATGGATAAATGAGGTTGATGTGAAAACTGGGCTTAACAACTGATAGCAATTTTAATTTGAAGGTCATTGTATAAGTTCGAAGGATGATCTATGGCCATGACCCCTGTATTTTTAAAGTGGATCACAATCGTACTGTTCTTGTTTTAATCAGTAAAGAAGCAAGCAGAAGCTAAATCTAATAAATTGTATCTCATGATTGTATGCTGTGCTGATATAGTGGATGACGGGGCTCAAAGATTTTCCATTCTGTTTCATCCATTGTCTTAAAGTGCTTTCTTTGAGCTGGGAAATGAAATTCTATAGTCTTACATGATTGACAGGTTGAGGGAGATGGGAGGTTAGTTCCTGCGACTGATGATGAAATTATGGAGGTTGGAAACTTGCTTGCAGATGATAAGATTGAAATGCATCTAGTTGCAGACACTGGGCAGAGTGGAGGGTCTTCATCTGGGATGCCCCAGTTAGAAAGCTCAGAAGGTTTATCTGTGTACTACTGCATGAGACATTTTGAACATCATAACACATGAAATATTTTGAACATTAGTTTTAAAAAGATGAAATAGAAGCTGTTCTTGCTGATAGTACGACTACTATCTGCTGTAATGGTTATAGCATGAAACCTTTTGAACATTTACTTTAAGAGCATGAAACAGATTATGTGTATGCCTGCTGACTGTAGGAAAGGATTTTTGTACTAATACAGGCTAAATAGAATTAATTTCTCAATTTGCGAATCTCAGTTTTATGAAAATATTTCCACTATTTGATCTGGGTAATTCCTTGTTTTTTTTTTTTTTTGGGTGGCCATGGCACCCTTCACCACCCTGGATCTTTATAACTTCCAAACTTAGTTATGTAAAAGCAAATTAGTCTCTTGTGCTTCTAGCTGTTTTCTGTGCCTTTTTTCAGTTTATTAGAAATCTGATGTCCGCTTGAGGTCTTGCTACATCAACATCTCAGGCATTGTTATTGGTTTGTTGCATTTTACTATATCATGTTATATGTGTTTTGAACATCTGAAGTATCTTTGTCTGTCAGGTTTGTCACAGTCTGAAAACACAGAAGTTGATGCAGGAAAATCAAATACACATGTTGAGGTATTGACTAAATTTCTTATGATAACAGATTCAAATTTTTTTCAAAATACAATGGATTAATTTTTATTGATTATAGTGGTATTTTACTGCTGGCTGAGCAGGTACCAGGACTTTCATTGTTTAATTTATTGGTCTGTTTATAGATTTTTTTCACTGAGTGTTATTGATTTGTTTTGTGCTTGTACATCTGCAAATTTATATTGATTCTTGTTTATTCAAGTATTAATTTAACTGTATTGTCTTGGATTCTTCTTGGCCTATAAAATCTCTTGTAGTACATTGAGGAGATGTTGCAAAAGGTCAAACAGGATGAGAGTCATCTCTTAGCTTGTGGATCTCCTGATCATTCTTCTGCTTATGTGATTGTAGAGGGCCAGTGTTCTGATCAGAATGATAAAATGCCTGGCATTGATGAGAAGCTCCAATCTGAAATTCCCTTGCAGGGAAATGACACTCCCTCCTCCCCAAGTTTGAGTAAAAGCCATATTAATCACTCTGGGAGTGTTGGAGAGTGCTCAAATCCATCAAACGAACTGATAGAAGGTCAATCATCAGCTTCAGCTGTATGTACTAGTTCAAAACCTGATTTTTCTAGGCTAAAGGGAGAAATATGCTTGGACAATCTATCAATCAAAGAACTACATGAAACTTTTAGAGCGACTTTTGGGAGGGAGACAACTGTCAAGGACAAGCAGTGGCTTAAGAGAAGGATTGCCATGGGGTTGACTAATTCTTGTGATGTTTCGGCATCAAGTTTCATAATTAAAGATAACAAATTATTGAGCAAGGGTAAGGAAGAAAGCTGCAACAATGATGGTACTACTTCTATGAGCAATACAGCTGTTGGAGCAGTGAATGTGGAATGCAAAGATTCATCAACTAACCACAGTAGCCAGATGGAAGAACATCAAACTGCATCTGTTGAGAGACAGAGAAACTCTAGCACAGACAAAGATCATAAAAGTGAAGATCTTCATGCAGACCAGGTAGCTGCTAAAAGAGTTCGGAAACCAACAAGAAGATATATTGAAGAACTCTCAGAAGTGGAGTCCAAAGAGTCAAGTGGAAAGTCAATACCTTCAGCAAAAAATTCTGGTCTGAGACAGATGTCCCCAAAATCTAACACTAGGCCTGTTGGAATTGCCTCTTCTAATAGGGGAACTTTTGTGATGAGGCTGGATTCTCTCGGAGGATCTGGAGTTCAGGTTCCATATGTTTCTCGAGTCCGAAGAAGCCGTCCAAGGAAAAATGTCATGGCGCTTATGGTATGTAAGGTCCTTTGTGCCGTAGCAATCTGAACATGGCTTGTATATTTTGCGCTTCTCATGCTATAGATAGTTAATAGCATGAATTAATTATATTTCTTAGGCTACTCCCCCTTTTGGCATTATTATATATGTAGATGTACTTGCTTCTCCTTTATTTATTCATTTAATTTTTCACTTTCTATAAAGAGGCTGTGGACCTTGTGGTAGTAAATAGTATGGTAGACATGAATGGGCCACCATTATTGTTTCCAATTTTTTTCTTTGTTTGTTCTGTTGTGTAATTGGTTCTTGTACAGAGAAGAAGTACTTCTATGACATTATTTCATTTATGTTCTGCAGGAATTTCATCCCCAGGGCATAGGCATGACAGCTGCACTGGTCAAGACGGCCTTCAGTGTACATAGTTCTCAACCAAATAATGAGAGTGGGAACATAGTCTTGAAAGCCAGATCTACTGTTGAGAAGATGCAGCATCCAGTAAGAGACCAAACTTATATTTCTCTTCATAAATTAGTTTTGAATGTGAAGTCCCAACTAGTCAAGAGTGAATGAATGGTCTATGAAAATATTTTTGTTTCAAGCTCTGAAATAATTATTCTAAGTTTGTCCTTTGCCAGTTGCATCTGCCCCCCTTTTTATTTTTTCCAAACATTGACAATTTTGTTACATTGAAACTAATGTCTTTAGAATGCAGTTAGGGCTCTACAGGTGATGATAAGTTATAAGAAAAAAGTGGTTGACAAGATTTGTTAACATTCCTCAGACCAATCACTTGTATTGATGGAGAGTTACCTTCTATTACTGGGAGAAGTAGGAGGTAAATAAGTGGATGAAGCAAGCGTGGATGTCAGGATTGATACCTAAATTTTAGGTTTTGCAAACTAAAGTAGCATAAACTGGTAATTGTTTGATATGAGTTATGGTTCTCATGGTCATGAAGTATTGTTCAGCAGGGATGCATGCGGCTGCGCAGCTTTCACCTGTGTTTTGGTTGTTTGTACTTTGTTTCAAGTTTTTGTTCATTCCTACTGTCTTGACTATTTAATCAAGTAATCTGCCATTTTTGCTGAGATTATTTCATTGATTCATCTTGAAATTCATGGACTGATTGCAATGTGATTGTGTTGCTACTCAGTTTACAGTTGAACCAGAGAAGCCTAAGCCATTCTCTTCAATGGTTTCAATTGAGCAGGGGCAGAATATGGAGCCGAAACATGTAGATCCATCTGGAGATACTTCAGACGATAATGTGGTCACTGTGCCAACTGGGAAAGGTGGAGTGAGAAGGAAACATCACCGAGCTTGGACTCTCTCTGAAGTTATGAAACTTGTTGAGGGTGTATCCAGGTATGGTGCTGGAAGGTGGTCTGAGATCAAAAGGCTTGCCTTTGCATCCTATTCATATCGCACCTCTGTCGATCTCAAGGTATGCATATAATGGTTGGATCCCTAAATTCTGTATTGCAATTTGCAAAATATATCTTCGCTAAATACTGGGCCAGTTTTGGCAATCACAAATATTTTTAAGCTGCGTACCTTATTTTTTTAGGACAAGTGGAGGAATTTGCTGAAAGCAAGCCTTGCACAGACACCTCCAGATAAAAGGGTGAGTATTTTGCTTCTTGCATTGTCATCGACTTACAAGTTCAATAACTTGAATAATAAATCTTTTAAATTCTTGCCTTGAATTTTTCTGTTTGGTAACATAGATAAACTCCCGGAAACATGCATCTGGAATGCCGATTCCTGCTCCGATTTTGTTACGAGTTAGAGAGCTCGCAGAGAGGCAGTCACAGGTCCCCTCAAATCTTAGTAGCACCAGCAAGTTGGCCGGGTCAACTGGTAGAAATAATGTACATGAAACAAGATCATCTGGGTACTTGTAACATTGTAAATAAATAATATCACACAAACTTTAGCTGTCTAAAGTTAAAAATAAAGTTACTAATTAGAGGTGTTTGATTAACACAAATTATCCTGACATAAACTTAGTTGTTTACGAATATGAGCTTCCAATGTAATTTTATGGTGTTTCATCTCCTTTGTATACAATGCTTTTTCTGCTTAACCTTTTTACTTGTTAATTAATTGGTTGTTTTGGTTGGTTTTGTTTTTACTTTTTCCTCAATTGAGGCAGCAGGGAGAGATGGGAATAAAAACCTTTTTTTTTTGTTTTTTTATAACTGGGGTTTAATTTCGGAATCTACTAACACCTACCAGCTAAGTCATAAATGTGATAGACAATAAAAACTTGTACTGCTCCAAACAAAGCAATATCTTCTACTGATCAACTTAGACCACCACAGGAATTGTGACCTACTCCAAAGCGATAAGCTTTGCGAGAGGTGACCTTTGTGTTTGTGGCACTAAATAACAACTAAGATGTGAGCATTGATATCGTCAATCTGTTGCTTAAGACTTGTTGAATAATGTTTTCTACACAATTCTTGCGTGATAAATGAATTACTAACAGAGATGCAAATGGAGAACGAGCTCAAAATTGAATAATACTATACTTAAAAACACTTTATACTAGTGTTTTGATACCCAACCCAGTGGTTGAACCGGTTCAATCGAGACTTGGGGCCTTTGCCAAACGAGTTATCACTTTTAACTATTTATCCCAAACCCTAGAATTATGGACAGCGATCAGCGAGCATATGACAATAATTATGTTGGGGCTTTTGGAGAGGGAAGTGCTGGTGAGTCCAAAGGTGGTTAAGGGAGTGATTTCTAGTGAGTGAATCAATCGGAAAAGGCAAAAATCAATTAGCCAAAACAACGACCTGTTGTTGGCGATTAATGGAGCAAACAGGGGAGGGGTGAGATGGGTTTTGGCCAGGAGGTTGAGGGGAGTGTTTTCATGGTGATGGAGAGTGTTTTCGTTGCCGGAAACAAGCCCTATTTGGCTTGGGTTGTTGATACCGACAGTAGTGTTTTGGGTATTTTTGCAAGATTTCAAACCTATAGGAACTTATATGTAATTTTTAAGGTTATTTTTATTGAATTTTAAACCTTTAGACATCTGTTTGATATGTCGGTCAAATTGGTTTAACCGATCAACCTGAGACTTGGCCATTTTGTTGAGTTTCACCCCTAGGTTGATTATTAAAACATTACTTTATATAAAGTCATTTATATAAAGTGATGTGTCAAAATATGAATGAATAAATTAATATAAAAATAACTTAATAGATGCATATTAATGATATTGAACGATATGTCAATACAATAGTACTGCCATAGAAATCCTATTTTCTGTGTCAAACCGTTGATAAGAAGAAGCTCAGGTATTCAGTAACTGTGTCGGCCTAAAATTCCGAAGGCCTTTACAAAATGGGCCTAATACATAATCGGGCTTGAAAAAGTAAGCCCGAAACTTCATTCATGCTAAGCCCTTTTCATGTCCCCTCTCTTTTCTCTTTCAACAGAAAACTCGCAGGCACCTCTCTATCAGCTGCTGGCTGCTGCGATCCGTCTTAACTCGGTTCCGGTGAGTCATCCACCAACAGAGTTCATTCTTTCTGTTTCTCTCCAATTAATTCTCTCCGATTCCATGAACTTAACATCCTCCAATTCGGTTATCTTTATGAACTTGAACTTGAACTTGCTTAGCTTCTCATTATTTGCTTATTTATTGATTTTTGTTTATTTTGTTTGTTGGTATTAGCTGAAGTAAAGAAATAGAAAAATGGGTATCATTGAAAAGATTAAAGAAATCGAAGCCGAGATGGCTCGCACCCAGAAAAATAAAGCCACAGGTAAGTTAATTGNGCACCTCTCTATCAGCTGCTGGCTGCTGCGATCCGTCTTAACTCGGTTCCGGTGAGTCATCCACCAACAGAGTTCATTCTTTCTGTTTCTCTCCAATTAATTCTCTCCGATTCCATGAACTTAACATCCTCCAATTCGGTTATCTTTATGAACTTGAACTTGAACTTGCTTAGCTTCTCATTATTTGCTTATTTATTGATTTTTGTTTATTTTGTTTGTTGGTATTAGCTGAAGTAAAGAAATAGAAAAATGGGTATCATTGAAAAGATTAAAGAAATCGAAGCCGAGATGGCTCGCACCCAGAAAAATAAAGCCACAGGTAAGTTAATTGCTTGTATATAATCATTTAATTTATGTATTTTCTTTATGGTTCATGCAAGGTTACTAGACCCGGGAAGTTACGGGGATTTTCCTTTGGTATCGTGTGATGATACTGGATGTTATTAGTATGGTATTGTAATGATGTTACAAATGCCATTTTGTGTGTTCCTAAAAGATATCATTTCGTTAACGTTACTGGAATTGCTAATGTGCAATGTTACATTTGTGATATTAAAGTTCACACCAGTGATAATTTATGCCATTGGTACCAATGTTTTGTTTACCAGTTGGTTTGTTACTAATATGAAGTTGTATGTGACAAATTTGATGTTGCACTTTACTATAGGAAATTATTTTGATAACATTACTGGGATTTTACTCTGAATAAGATGGCAATTTCTTTTGTGTAATGGTTTAGTTTTGTTTTCTGTTTCTGTAATTGTAATGAATTGATCTGCAGAGTATCATCTGGGTCAGCTCAAGGCAAAGATTGCAAAACTAAGAACACAATTGTTGGAGCCTCCAAAAGTATGTGGGTTTGTTATTCTGTAACTTTGAGTGCATATTTAGAAATTTTAGATTTACTTAGTTGGTGTTTCCATCTTGGTTTGGTGTGGTGAATATATTTCAGTCATGTGCATGATTTAACTCTTATGGTAATTGTGTGAGTGATGTGCCTGGCACATGAATAGGGGCTTTTCATCTGTCTTGAAGGTTTCTTCTTATCGTTTATTTTCATGAACCAGGGTTCTAGTGGAGCTGGAGAAGGCTTTGAAGTTACAAAATATGGCCATGGACGTGTTGCACTGATAGGTTTTCCCAGGTTTGTTAACTTTATGAGTTAAAATTTGGTTTTCTTTTGCTTCACTTTGTGTGTATTTGAGAGAGAGACAGAAATAACATGTCCAATGGTGATCATATTTGATTGCAGTGTGGGGAAGTCTACCCTCTTAACTATGTTAACAGGCACCCATTCAGAAGCTGCATCTTATGAATTTACAACACTTACCTGCATTCCTGGTATCATACACTATAATGATACTAAAATTCAGCTGCTTGATCTTCCTGGAATTATTGAAGGTGCTTCTGAAGGCAAGGGACGTGGAAGGCAGGTAAAAACTTTTCAACTGCCTTTTTTATCTTTTCTTGTCTGTATCTTGTGAGCGTCTGTTATATGATAGTCAGTCACTTGATTGGGCCCAAAGAAAAGGAAAATCCTCGCTGATTTTGATCGGATGTTGTTTTAAAAAGTTCTTATGGAGATTTTAATGTTGATGAATATTGCTCATGTTCTTTGGCTGTTTATTCTTTTTCCAAGCTTGGTTGTATATCTTATGAGTTCCAGAAATATAATGAGACTCTTTACCTGTCAGGTTATTGCAGTCTCCAAGTCTTCAGACATTGTGTTGATGGTTCTCGATGCTTCAAAAGTAAGTGTTCATATTCTAGTTGTACTAATCATCTGGATGACTGAACTTTATTGCATTAGCTTGATGAATTCTTAATAAGGTCATATACAGGGACCTATTGGACTTATTTGCCTGGGAAATTAATTTTAAGGCAATTAACAGTATTACAATTTTGGTATAACCCTGTGACTATCCATTAAATAAATTAGGCCTTGCATGTGAGAGGATCTAGTAGAGTGTACAAAGTATTGTTGGACCCCTTTTCATCAGCTTAAGCTTTAGAGATCAATAGTTACTTGACACTATCCATTTTTTTTTTTTTTTTTTTTTAACTTTTTTGTCGTATAAGGTATAATGTTAATGTTTATGCAACATGTGTGGAAGTTTATCTTATATTTGCTTCTTTTCACTGCTGCACGTGCTGTTATATTTTATTTTTCTTTAGTGATTTTTAAGCATTTGTCAAATTTTCCATAATCTTCTCATGTGATCTATTTGAAAATACCTCAGAGTGAGGGTCACCGACAAATATTAACAAAAGAACTGGAAGCTGTGGGATTGCGTTTAAACAAGAGACCACCTCAAGTAAGTTTTTCTCTTTACATGTCTGTAAAACTTTTGAGTCAAATGAATTATTGTCTTAATATTGGTGATATATGAGTAATTTTCACATTCAAAATATATGCCTCTTCTCTGTTATTATGCTTCCACTGCTCTTCATCTTTACTTTCTCACCAACTTTGCTATTTTCTGCACTGATTCTGATTTAGTTTTTTTTTCTTGCATTTTTTTTTTTTTGTCAAATATATGGAAAATGAGTGAGCATTTATTATATTTTCCCAATTTCTCTGAGGATATATTTTAATGGGTTTACTTTGTTTTGGTTTTGTTGTTGTTCCATTGACAGATTTATTTCAAAAAGAAAAAAACTGGTGGCATTTCATTCAACAGCACCGCACCTTTAACTCATGTGGATGAGAAGCTTTGTTACCAAATTCTACATGAATACAAAATTCACAATGCAGAGGTATCCAGTTTTCGCCTGTATATCAGTTAAGTTGTGTTTGTATTCAGTTAATGGATTGCAACCAAATCTGGGAGTGGTTCTTGCTTATTCAGATATTACTGCTGCCTGAGTATGAAAGACTCTAAACTAGCCACTGATAACTTGAAATGATGGGGCCATAAGGACATGATATTATAACTCTCTTTTTTCTTCAGTTCATGTCCTTCTTGAATCAATGCTTTTCTTATGTGTCAATTTTCATCTTTTTCTTGGAAAAAAGTAAAGTTAAGTTTTATATTTGTCATTGCATATGGAAGTCCAGAGGTCTCTTTAATGTTTATAAGATTCTTCAATGAATGACTTGTTCTTCAAAATGAGAGTCAAGAACATAGCACTAAGCTTTAAGATATGATTTCCTTTTCTTCTGCACATATTTTTTCGATAATTTCTCTTTTTATCTACAACCTATGCTACTTAGGCTTTATGGATTGCTGTTGTAGATTCTCCCAATATAATTTCTCTTTTACATGCTTCTTTATGTATACTCTCTGATATGGGTTAGATTTAATCTCTTGTGCTGCCTACCTGCTATCTCAAAGAAAAGGGTACTTATTTGGTGATGGATTTTATTGTAGGTGCTATTTCGAGAGGATGCCACAGTGGATGATCTTATAGATGTCATTGAAGGAAATCGTAAATACATGAAGTGTATATATGTCTACAATAAGATAGATGTTATTGGTATTGATGATGTGGATAAGTTAGCCCGGCAGCCAAATTCTGTTGTCATTAGCTGCAATCTAAAGGCATGTTCTGCACTCAATATATTTTGTTTAATGTAAATGAGGCATGAAGGATTATATTTATTATGTAACTCGATGCACCACTAGAATCTAATGGCATGTAAAAGCCTTATGACCAGCCAATTGCATTTGTTCTCTTTTGGCCAGTTAACAACAATATTGGATTTATCAGATTAAATGTATTATGCATTCTTCTTCCGTGTGTACTTGCTATGTCCTATCATGCATTGTTTGGCCAGCAAGCTCAATAATGTGACTTCAAGTGTGATTCCAAGATATGGTGCAACTTGGAAGTACTTTGAGCACGATACACATTTAAATTTCACTTTTGATGTGAGTTGTTTAGAGAAACAATAACTTATTGTTAATGTTCCTTGTACAGCTTAACTTAGACAGACTGCTCGCAAGGATGTGGGATGCAATGGGACTTGTGAGAGTTTATACAAAACCACAAGGCCAGCAACCTGATTTCAGCGAGCCTGTAGTTCTCTCTGTTGTATGTCATATACCCTCCTCTTATAAAATGAACACATCTGTTTATTAGTGGATTCTTTCAGTGCTAAGTTCCTGGTTTTTGTTCTCTTTTCACTTTTTTCTTTATTTTCTCTCTCCTTGTACTTGATAGGATAGAGGTGGCTGCACAGTGGAAGACTTCTGTAATCACATCCACAGGAGTTTGGTGAAGGATGTGAAATATGTGCTAGTGTGGGGTATAAGTGCAAGGCATTACCCACAGCATTGTGGCCTCGGTCATGTTCTTCAAGATGAGGATGTAGTTCAGATTGTTAAGAAAAAGGTGTTGATATCTTTTGAGTTTATGGCTTTATGCAGCTGTTTTCTTAGCTCTTTCTCAGCCGAAATTTTGTCCTTTCTGTGTACTTTTAATTTCTTTTTCTGTTTTAGAAAATAGAGTTTATGGTGTCCACTTTGGGCGTGATAAACGAAAAAAAATTTAGATATGAAAATTGAAGACTTGTGATATGAATTTTGCAGGAAAGGGAAGATGGAGGGAGAGGTCGATTCAAGTCGCATTCAAATGCTCCTGCTCGAATATCTGACCGAGAGAAGAAAGCTCCCTTGAAGACTTGAATACATCAATGGATACTGCCCTGCTCACCTTTGATTATCAAATGAGGTTGGCATTGAAGAACAATTTGCGGCTGCAAGTATGGTGCGCCCAAATTACTGTATGGCTAGGCCATATCGAGTCTGCTATCCAGAATACACATATATTTTGGCCCTGGATTGTATCTTAAATTAAATTTTCTAAATGAGGCTCTGATTAATATTTAATACTCTGTTATAATGTATTATTAATCTTGGTTACTTGGTTGAATAGATAATGTTACAAATTTTATTAATGTTTGATGGATACATGTGACAAAATTATTTTCATTATTTTTCAAAATATTGTCATGAAGGAATTGGGAAATTAATATGAACTTGTATAACCATTAACAAACACTAACATCAGTTTGGCCAAGTATGGAGGCTGACAAACAAAAAGTCAAAAAGCTGTGAAAATTCTTTATTCATTTGAACTTGATATCCAGCTACAACCAGGAGATTTCTTCTTTCCTATTTCATTCATCATCATCTTCACGCTCTCTGAATCTTTCCACCTACCTACTGATGCATAAATATTTGCCAAAAGGACATAATTTCCGGGATTCTCGGGCTCAAGTTGGAAGAGATTCCTGGCTGCAATCTCACCCAATTCAGCATTACCATGAACCTTACAAGCTCCCAGCAAAGCTCCCCAAGTTCCTCCATCAAAGGCATTTTTGTATTGCATTATTAGACTGTATGCCTTTTCAACTTGCCCGGCCCTTCCAAGGAGATCAACCATGCAAGTAAGGTGCTCAGTCAAGGGCTCCATACGAAAAACTCGAGTCATCTTCTCAAAGTGCTTGCACCCTTCTGCAACCAGCCCTCCATGACTACATGCATTAAGGACTCCAATGAATGTGACCTGGTTTGGCTTTATTCCTTCATTTTTCATCTTCAAGAATACATCCAGTGCTTCTTGGGACTTCCCATGTTCAGCAAGGGCCATGATCATTGCACTATATGATATCACATCTTTTTCCTTCATTCTATCAAATTCTCTCTGAGCTTGAACCAAACATCCACATTTTGCATGCATATGGATAAGTGCATTGGATACATAGAGTGTTCGCTCTGAAAGAGTGAGAAAAAGAAATATCGTTTCCACATCATTCTTAAAAAAAATAGTCTTAGTCTTAAATTGGAGTAGTATCACGTCATCCATATATCTGTTTTACAAACTTATGTTGTAGAGATCATTTAGTGTATATGTACCACCAAAGACTTCAACAACAATATTCATGATACGGATTAATGTGAGCGTTTCAAAACCATTTATAAACTCTATAATGATAAAATGTACAACCAGAAGAACTTACCACAGCAACCTTGCTCCACATGCTCAGCCAATTTAGTTGCCATTTCAATGTCTCCAAGTTGTGTACAAGCTGAGATAGCTCCCACCATTGCTACCTCACTGATTCTCTCATTTTTTTCTCTCATCACCTTATACAATTCAATACTTTTCTCAGCATACCCATTTTGTGCATAACAAGCCACCATTGCTGCCCAGCATGAAGCATCAGGTTCCAAAATCTCATCAAACACTCTTTTAGCCTCACTCACATCACCACACTTCCCATACCCTGCAATCATAGCAACCCATGTCACAGAATTCTTCTCTATCATCCTATCATAAAACTCCTTTGCCGCTCTCATATCACCACATTTTGCATACCCTGCAACCATTGCAGTCCAAGAAATCACATTGCGCTGGCTCATGCTATCAAACAGTCTTTGCGCATCATCCATCATAGCCATCTTAGTGTATCCACAAATCATAGCAGTCCATGCAATAAGATCTTTATCCTCATCATCCATCATATCAAATAATCTTCTCGCGTCCAATACAAACCCACATTTTGCATACATGTCAAGCAATGCAGTTATTACAAACTTGTTCCGGAAGTAACCTAATTGCACTACTTTAGCCTGCACTTGTTTGCCTTCAAGAAATGCCGGCATACGAGCACATGCATTGAGCACGGAAGAGAAAGTGAACCCAGATGGCAATACACCCAACCGCTGCATTTTAGCATACAACCAAATGGAATGGCTAAATTGAGTATGAACAACATGGCTACGTATAAGGGAAGTCCAGAGGAATTGATTCCTACAATTGGGTATTTTGTCGAACACTTGGCGTGCATAGCTCAAGTTATCACCGGATAGCTTAAGGAGATGGAAGAGAAATTGGGTTAAATAATTTTGGTGGTGGGTTTTAGGTAGGGTTTTAAGTAAGAGGGCATGTGTTTGTTTTAGTTGGTCAAGGGTTTTGCTTATGTGTAGGTAGTGAGTTATGCTATGTTCGGTCTTACAATATTTGGTATGTGGGGGTAAGTTCTTTGTTGTCATGAATAATTTTGGTCATTTTGTATGTGGTCACGTTCAGATTTTGAGTTGGGGGTTTTGCAGAATAGTCAAAAGGGTGGCTAGTTTTCGTGGGAAATTTACGTTGTTGGAGGGTTATAGATTATAACAAGTGGCTTTCACTTATCCTGCACCCATTATTAATGTGACAGCTGAATGCCGATTTGCCCTTTTTTTATGGATAAAGAAATATTAAGATACACAAACTTTAAGTTAAAGAACAAAAAAGAAAAATTAACACCAACTCATTGTACATCAATGTTCTGAAAACCGGAATGGACCAGCCGATCGGACTAGTTCGACTGTCGACCAACATACTTTCCGATCTGAATTTCCAATTTTACTATTCACCCAAATCCCTAATCTTACTGTCGACGGACAGGGGGCTACCAAATGTTTGGGGTTAGAGAGGTTTTGTAGAAAGGAGGCCGATGGTTCAAGGGGTGGTGTCAGATCAAATTTTGGAGGCCAAAAAGTAACCAAAATTTGGTCAAAAAAATCAACTCAATACGCAAGTCACAATCGATAAATAGGGGGCTACCAAGTTCCAAGGTTAGAAGGGTTTTGTAGAGTGGAGGACGGCAGTCCAAGTGATGGTGTCGAATTGAATTTTGGTAGCCAGAAAAGTCAAAACCCAAACACATCACAGGGGTATGTTTGCTATATTTCAAAAAAAATTAGGGATGTTTTTACAAAATTTCAAACTTTTTGGACCAACGGGTACCTTGACGATCTAACCCTGAACCAGGCCTTTAACCAGGTCAAGGCCCGGTCCGGTTTTCAAAACATTGTTCTACATATATGGGGAGTAAGCCATGATAGTGACCAACATCAAAATGCCTCGTACAACCTTAGAATTTGAGGCAAAATAGCAAGACTCTGGAACCTTATTTCCCATACAAAAATTTACTGAACAGTCTCTCAAGATGGTCACTAATTTGCAAGACAGAATAATCTAATAACATTTTTGAGTTTACATGGACTGTTGTCCATTACTAATGCTTCAAGGCTTATGTTCAACCAAGTCAATGAACTTGTATACATCTCCCCGCCTTTGATTCTGAACGGGTATGTGCTCTCTATAATCAAAAACATTATGAACACAATCAGGAACTTGATACAAGTTTAGCTTTTAAACTTGAGAATTAGGACACTACCTCCGGAGTTGAATAGCTGAATAGTCAATCTCAGCAACTACTACTGTCTCTTCATGACCGGACGTTGCAATAATTTCACCGTTCTGTTAAAGTAAAAATAGAGCCATTATCAGTTCACCAAGACCTTTTCTTAATGCTGCTTTTATTCTCAGAATGTAAACAAAGTAACCAATGCCAAAATTTTCAATACCGGTCCAACAAGAGTGGAATGACACCATATCATGTAGGAACCATTGGATTCTCGTGAAGGCGAGCAAGTAGCTACAAACAACTACAACCATATCACTCATATCAGACATTCTTTTAGGCTATAGCTGAATTAATATATGGACAATATCAGCTTTTGTGGTACCTGGTTATCAGCTGCCCTGGAAAATGTGAGCACAAATGGGGAAAACCAATGAAAAAACTTTAACAGATGGCTTTAAGCCAAATTCAGAAACATTGCTGCTTAAAGAAGCCAATGTGTTCTTACCTTGCTCTCTGTACCAGCTCCCACAATAGTTCACCAGTGCTTATGTTGAATGCCCCGGGATAACATATTAAATGGGCACCTAACATTCACACAAGTAATTCAGCCTCATAAATATGTCAGCATAGTTTGTTACAAACCGGAGTTTTATAACTAACAAAAAACCTTTTGCGCTGTATAGCATTGCGAGTTCTGGGAAGTGTATATCATGACAAATTCCTACTCCAATACAGCCCATTTCTGCATTCGACAAATGAAAATGTGTCAGTTCCTTACTATTTTGAACAATGGGATAGTGAAAATGCAAGAGATGCATATGTAATGTAGAAGGAAGAACATGGAAAAGAGATGAGATGTGGCAAAAGTTGGTTAGAGTGAAACACAAAAGTCCTCTGAGCAAGCCTGCAGAAAATGCAAGATTCACCATAATTTAACAACTAAATTTTTTATCTGACCAAATGCAAACCTGTATCTACCATGGTTGGTCTATCTCCTGCAGTGAAAATATCAGATTCTTTGAAAGAAATATCCCCAGGGATGTCAATATCAAACAAATGGACCTGCAAAACAAGACCAATCTTAGTTAATTCTTTCAAATGTTTAACCTTCTATATCTTCCTTTTCATAATTTTCCTGAGATTTACCATCAACGTCAATGAAATCAAAACCATATCGAATAATTTTAGACCAAATTACTTTCCTATGCTTAGCCTTCAGCTTTCCATCTGCTCCAAAAACACAGCAAGTATTAAACAACATACCACTGTCGCATTCAGGCATGGAGCCACCAACAATGGTGATCCCAAGGCTCAAAGCAGCCTCTGATAACATTGAAAATGACGGTGAAGCATCCTTTTCCTCAAAATTCTCAGCATATTTCGCAAAGTAATCATTTGAATAAGGACAATTCCACATTTCCTGTTGTATAAAAAACATAACCAACATCAACTAGGCATACATAGCTGGAATCACTCAAGTACTTGGTGGTTAATAATTAACTCACAGGTAACATAACAAGCCTTGCCCCTTTCTCTGCAGCAAATTTAATTGAATTATGAGCATGAATTAGGTTTTGATTTTTGTCTACACTAACTGATAACTGGCAGAGTCCAATCTTGAACTGTTCACATACAGAACAAAATTTATCAACTCAGATAACTTTCTAAAACACACAACAGAACAAGTAATATTTTATGCACAATTGACAGAGCTCTTGTAATCATAAGATAGTGATAGGTAATTAATAAAAAGGAAAAAATCTCAACCAAAAATACTCATCAATGTAAAAGGGGTATAAGATCTATAAAAATAAAAAGAGCTCAAAACAAGAGAAGATCTTGATTTGGAAAGCAAACCTTTGAAATGGTGGGCAGCTCCAATGGCTGAAGTGCAGTAAAGCTGAAGTTTCCTCTGGTGTTTGCCATCTCACGCTCACACACACAACTAGCCAAAGTTGGATTTATATTTATAAATAATCAAAGTCACTCTTTAGTGGCATCTTCAAATAAAAATACAGGATAAGGTTAATGGGTCCAAGAGCTTTTGGAATCTGAAGTATATTTATTATATATATTGGTTTATACTTTACACTGTTCTAGAGATTCACGCAAAACCATTCAATTTAATTAATATCGTTGCCTTCTTTTGATCGTTCTAGGGCAAATATAAAATAGGATTTTAATTCTAACAAATGACCTTAGATTGTCAGATTGGCCATTTACAGACTGTTTGTTTTAATTTGAACTTCAAGCCAAAATATGTCCACATTAGTATGAGTTGTAGAAGTTGGCTTAATTTGTCCATTTCCTTACCAACACTCCTGTAGATTCTACAAGGAATTAAACTTTAGTATCTATTAGAATCTTCGCCTTTGGATAACCAGGTGATTCAATTAATCCAAAACGGCGGCCATGAGATTCCATTCTACAGCACATAAAATCATCCCATCCCATTGAGTTTTTCCTTCATGCCGGCAGCTTTAATCTTAATCCCTTGCAACTTCTTCTATATCAACACTTTGTAAATTACACCCAACAGATTATTCAAATCACCTCTTGATCAATCCAAAACATGCCTATCTTTTGTTATGGCATTCTCCTGGTGGGATGTATAGCCATTGCCATTATTGTTTACACTTTAGTAATGTTCGGATGGTGCGGTTTCAACTCCGGGCTGCCTCCTCCGAGAACTTCAGGTTCAGCCGCGGCGGAAGGGGAGGAACAGAAGAGCCTGGGCATTCAGAGTCCGTATATAGCTTCTTCATTCAGGTACAGTAAAGGGATTCTGGAGACTCCTGAAGCTGCGGGGTCAAAAGAACCAGCTGAAGATGAATGTGTTGTGTGCTTGACAGGTTTTGCGGAAGGGGAATTTGTTTGCCAGCTTCCTCGTTGCAGGCACTCGTTTCACTCCCCTTGTATTGATATGTGGCTCTACTCTCATTCCGATTGCCCTCTGTGTCGTGCTTCGGTCGATCGAGTCGATTCCAGGAGGAACTCATTATCATTTACAGAAGAAAGTTCTAGGGAGGTCTTGCTGAATATTGGCTTCTTGCCTTGACCTCTAGCTATATATTGGGTGCAACTATCCCAGCACTAATGCATCGGATCCTATCAGAATTTCAGGATTCTGAAACTAAAATGTGTTAATTGAATAAAGACATCTACAAGAACTGAGGAATATATGTACGGGAATCCAATGATCCCATTGTGATATTTCCACATAATGTAAAACATGTTTTAATTTGATGGGATTGGTTGAAAGACTAAAGGAAGTCTGAAAAACAAAAGAGAGTCTACCGAATTTTCAAATCAACAAACTATGGAAATCAAGTGATGAGCAGCCTTGTCTACTGTCCACATATATCTATGGCAAAAGATAATCCGATAGAATATCTATTTAATTTATTCCTATGCTTCAACAAGGAATGATAAACTCACCCTTGGCGAACTCTAGTAGGAGAAGTGCTGAACTCAAGTAGTAGGAGAAGTGCTGAAATGTATGTTAAAACACGCTGTAATCCCTTTAACTCTCAAGATCTAGGCAGGGATATCGTGCTAATCACCTATATAAATTAATATATTGAAGTTTGAATCCTTTTGATATAAGAGGAAGACACGATGAAGAAGAAGAGCGATAAAGAAAGTATAACCAAAGAATTTCAGTTTTAGATAAAATTGAATTATAGTTATTTTTAAATTATGAATTTGAATTTTTCTTAACTATTAAGTGTAGTTATTTAGTTTTATCTATTTAAAACTATAAAAAGGGGAATATATTATGTGGTTGAAGAAAATGAATAGATAATGTTTTATTCCTCTTTTATAGTTATAACATAATCAAAGTATACGTAAACTGATCGGACACTAATATATATATATATAATTTGAGCTCCCACTTATTCAAAACTATTAAGCATAATAATTAATACAACATGATCATCAAACATGAGAAGAAAATTGAAAAAATTAGATTCAAGATTATTCAAATACAAAACCGTCCACGAACAAGATCAGGAGACGGCATTTATTTAATTTGCAGGAAACTTAGAAAACCCAACAGACTTATTAGCTGCTGGATTAAGCTTATTATAATTTTATTTCCATACATAGATATTAAGGTGGAATTTATAGCTCAGAATCATCAAAAGGTCCCCAGACCAGTGGTTTTGCTTTGGCTTTAACTTCAACTTCAACTTCAACTTCAACTTCAAATAAATAGGAGAGGGGCAAACTAAGAACCTCTGGTCCTCCACTCCACATAATGTCAGCCAATTGAGAGTAGACAGCTTCAGTGGTATGGGAACCATCAAAGTATACATATTCACTCGGGTTAAAGCACAGTTCATAAGGCTGGGTTATATTTCCACACCCACTTCCACGATAAGGTCCTATACCACAGCATGCCACGTCCCCATACTTGAACCCTTCATTTGTAACATCAAAAACCCTAGTCACCGTTAAATGACTGAATGTAGTAGAGACAAAAGCCGAGTAGAACTAGAATGCATATGCATGAATGGAAGAAGCTAGAAAGTGCTGGTTAAGATCGAGGAATCAACGTATCACATTATCTTTATGTATTCATTTAATAAAACCTCACTATATAACATATATATGATTATATCCTTGAGTTTTTAGAAGTCTTATCATACAAATATATTAGGTAAAGATCATATCAAGAGAAGATTCCAATTACAGATGATATGATAGATCTATTTTAATAAGATTTTTTCTGATACAGAGAACGTGAAACGTCTATTTTAATGAAATTTTTTCTAATTCTGCTTAGATAAACTTATAGAGGACAAAATGTATTAATTTGAATAAGAATTGATCTGACTCTGATTAGATGAACTTACCAATGACGCGATAGCTTTATTGTGATAAGAATTATAATTTTTTGATGGAAAATGGATATGGTGATTATAGTTAACTAACCATATGTTGTGGGATCTTTGATCCTGTTCCCAACTGCGGTGAAGAAATCAAAGGCTGAGAATACAGATCCTGGCCAAGAATTTTCACTAGTTAAGGTTTTAAGTTTCTTGACTAAAGCATTGTTGTGAAGAATCGCCAATGTTAATGGTAACCCGGCGCATGCTTCATCAATCACATCTGACGTCTGTTTCGACATTGGCACACAACCGAGCGGTCCAACATTTTGAAACATAAATTTCCTTCCTCCTCCGTTATATATTTCCTGCAACCAAACCCAAAAAAAAAAAAAAAAAAAATCAGCTGAAAATTTGATAATTAACCAACAAAATACTGCACCAGTATAATATATAATCTTACCTGGATACCCTGGAAGATCGTTTCAATCACTTTGTCTACGTATTCTTGTTGTTCTGGTATAGTATCATTAGAGTTTGAATTGGAATGTCTGAAGTAATCGTTGCCACCAATGGAAATCAAATAAACCGCTTTTCCAAGTCTCCTCTTGGCTTCATCTATGCCAAGTATGTTCGTCCAGTTTACTACTAACTCCTTGAACAGTTGGACCTGTTTCCCAAAAATCATCTGAAAGGAAAAGGCTCCATTACCAAGTCATCAACTTAAACCATGAGTTTGATTGCAACGAAAAACTATATATATACAGAATGATGAGAAATGTTTTCGGCGAAGACAATATTTTGCGTACCGCATTTGTGGCATTAAGGGTAGCAGCTGCTCCAGCGGAAGCAAAATTTGCGCCATGAGTGAAATCTGCTCCAGGTTCCAGAATTGGCGGCATGAACGGTAAGTTCAACTTCGTTGCTGCATTCAAATGAAACATGGAGAGTTCATTAAGCCTATATCACTTGCTGGGAACATATTTACTAACAAAATTTTATTACATATTTATATTTACTTCTAATTAAATTGTTTTTAAAATATATTTATATGAGGTAATATTATTAGACTCTTGCACATTAATATTCATGACATGTATAGTGTTTTTTAACAAGCATTCAATTATACATGCACCAAATTAAACTACAATATTCTTACCAATAAAATCAGGAGCCAAACGGCCATCAGAATATCTCCCAGTTGGGTGAAGAGCGAAATAGGTCTTGCCATAGGGGAGGTGATAAGCAGCAATGTAACTATCTGGTGAAATGTATTGATTATTTCCAGCATCAAAAAGTGAATCCCCAAAGATGAAGAAGTAACTCTCAGCACCATTGCAGCTAAATGGAAACACAAAGGTGACAGTAACACACAAACTTATCATCACACAAAGCAAATTATAACTTGGACTTGCCATAGTTTTCAATAGTATTATCTTATAGAGCTACCTAGCAGTGTGCTTTGTCAGGCTCCTCTCACTTGTTATTTATACTAAAAGGGTTGGGAAAAATCAGGCACCAATGCAGATGCATGATGATCGTGGTTAAATGTCCACCGTTCGATGCATGGTCCCAGCTTAATTAAATCCTATATATAAACTACAAAGATCACATGCATGCACAATTAAATTGACGTTGAAGCTAACATGCAGTACGAGTGCACGCGATTGTGAATAAAACGAAAGTAGAATGCATAAGTGAGAGTGATTAATATGTTTTTACGCTTATTGGTTGCTGTTAATTTTTGACTGATTTTCTTTCCCATTTAATGCACTTTGTCACTAGTTGGATGCGATCTTTTTTTGGTGACTAAGGTTCTTCGAGCCAGAGCCAGAGCCAGAGCCAGAGCCAGAGTCAGTCAGTTTGTGTACACCTCGGCTAATACCTGGTTGTTCAAGTCAGTTTGCACAGATCTCGATTGATTTCTGATTGTTCGCGTTAACTTACGCACATCTTGATTAATCTCTAGTTGTCCATGTGAGTTTGTGCACACCTCGACTAATACCCCGAGGCCCTGAAGTTAATGATGGGGTAAGCTTCTTGGCCAACCTATTAACAATCGAGATGAATCGAACTCAAGACATCTTAAATAATACACCCAAGAGTCATATTTAACCACTCGGTCATCCAATGGTCGTTAGTCTCTCATTTATCTTTATTTGGATCAAAATCCTTTATCGACTTTTATCTGAAACAAATAAAGGATTCCTGATTAGTAGATATAGAAGAAAAATATTATTGATAACCACAAATAAATGAAGGTGCATAAATGTTATGAGATCGTTAAAAGCTCAGAAAAACTGAATTCAAGAAAGGATCTTTATTATATTTTATTCAGACTCTATAGTTAAAAAAAAAAAAAAAAAAAAAGAGTTATTAACTCAAATAATAATTAAAAAAAAAAAGGTGTATATTTTTTTAACTTTTTAGAATAGCATTCTATAATATAATACTATTTAATGAAATAAGATATGATTCTGAGAATGTGTTTTGGAAAATATTTTTTGAAAATATTTAGATTCCTTTTTAACCCTTACATTTGTTAATTTAACTAAACACCCCTCACAATAAAAGTTTATAAATTAACAAAAATACCCTCACCCACCCAACTATTGCCGACAGTCGATCACCACCGTCGGATGGTGATCAGAAGTCGTCAAAATGATGTACGACTGGCTGGATCTGGCCAGCCGTGCCAATATGGCTTTTCTGGCCAAATCTATAGCTAAAGATATGGTCGTTGATAGCCAAATCTAATGCCTTAGATCTGGTCCTTTTCGACAAGATCTATGGTGGATTTGGCCAGAAACGGACAGATTGGTGCACGACCGGCCATATCTAGTCGGTCATACATTGTTTCTGAGCCAGCATCTGATAGTGGCAGTGGCAACGGTGACAGCTACTAGCTGGTGATAGCGGCCTGGGTGGGTGGGGGCGTTTTGATTAATTTTAAAACTTTTATTGAAAAAGGTAATTGTTAAATCTTTTGAGTTGAATAAAATTGGACTGGATTTTAGGTTGAATAGAAAAGTAATTATTTCATTTTCTTAGGATAGGATAGGGAAAAATAGTGTGCCAAACGCACCCAAAGACATCCACATAAATTAAGTTTGATAACAATAGAGTCTACCGAATTTTCAAATCAACAAAGTATAAAAATTAAGTTAGCTGCATTGTCGATTCTCCTCATATATTGATTGAACACACATTTTGTATTAGTGTATGC